TCTCATCCACCCCCGGGGCTCCGCCGCTGTGTAGTTGTTTGACTACCTCAGCAACTTTTGCCCCCGAGATTGGACAGTCCATCCCCAGGTCTCCTGGCTCTGGTTCCTCCTCGTAATGTGCGTAGGTAGGATTGAGGAGCTCCTCAAAGTATTCCTTCCACCGTCCGACTATAGCCCCAGTTAACGTCAGCAGCTCCCCATCCCCACTGTAAGCAGTGTGAGCGAGTTACTGCCTTCCTCTCCTGAGGCGCCTGATAGTTTGCCAGAACCTCTTTGGAGCCGATCGATAGTCTTTCTCCATGACCTCACCAAACTCCTCCCACGCCCGAGATTTTGCCTCAGCAACTGCCACTGCTGCACCCCGCTTAGCTATCCGGTACCTGTCTGCTGCCTCCGGAGATCCACAGACCAGCCACGTCCTGTAGGCCTCCTTCTTCAGCCTGACGGCTCCCCGAACCTCTGGTGTCTACCAGCGGGTACGGGGGTTGCCACCACGACTGGCACCGGCCACCTTGCGACCACAGCTAGCAACAGCTGCCTCAACAATCGCAGAGTGGAACAAGGCCCACTCGGAGTCAATGTCCCCCACTGCTCTCGGGACGCAGTCAAAGCTCTGCCGGAGGTGGGAGTTGAAGACCGTCTTGACAGGTTCTTCTGCCAGGCGTTCCCAGCAGACCCTCTATGTGTTTGGGTCTGCCAGGTCTACGCGGCATCTTCCCCTGCCATCTGATCCAACTCACCACCAGGTGGTGATCAGTTGACAGCTCCGCTCCTCTCTTCATTCGGGTGTCCAAAACATACGGCCGCAGGTCATATGATATGACTACAAAGTCTATCATCGACCTGCGACCTAGGCTGCCCTGGTACCAAGTGTACCGATGGGCATCCTTATGTTCAAACATGGTGTTCGTTATGGCCAAACTGCGGCTTGCACAGAAGTCCAATAACGAAACACCACTCGAGTTCAGATCAGGCGGGCTGTTCCTCCCAATCACACCCCTCCAGGTCAAGCTGTCATTGCCCACGTGAGCATTGAAGTCCCCCAGCAGGACAATGGAGTGCCCTGATGGAGCACTATCTAGCACTCGTCCCAGGGACTCCAAAAAGGGTGGATACTCTGAACTGATATTTGGCCCATAAGCACAAACAACAGTCAGGACCCGTTCCCCGACCCAAAGACGCAGGGAAGCTACCCTCTCGTCCCCCGGGGTAAACCCCGAAACACAGGCAGAGAGTCTTGGGGCTAACAAAAAGCCAACCCCAGCCCTCCGCCTCTCACCCGGAGCAACTCCAGCAAAGGAGAGTGTCCAACCCCTCTCAAAGACTTGAGTTCCAGAGCCAATGCTATGTGTCGAGGTGAGTCCGACTATATCTAGCCGGTACCGCTCAACCTCTGCCTTAAGCTCCTGCACCTTCCCTGCCAGCGAGGTGACGTTCCATGTCCCAAAACCCACTTTTCTTGTCCAGGGATCGGACCGCAAAGGCTCCCGCCTCGGTCTGCCACCCGATCCACAGTGCACCGGACCCTTCATGTTCCTCCTGCGGGTGGTGGATCCACAGTTGGATGAGTCCATGTATCCGGTTCGGGCTGGGCCCGGCCAGGCCCCATGGGCAAAAGCCCGGCCACCAGGCGCTCGCTCACGGGCCCCAACCCCAGGCCTGGCTCCAGGGTGGGACGCCGGTAACCCTCCGGGCCGGGTACTCCGACTCCTTGATAGTTCATCCATGAAAGATCCTCTGAACCGTTCTTTGTCTCACCCTTCACCTAAGACCAATTTGTCATGGGAGACCCTACCAGCGGCACAAAGTGCCCCAGACAACATAGCTCCTAGGATCATTAGGGCACTCAAACTCCTCCACCACGATAAGGTTCAAGGAAGAGTAGACATCTTCTCATAAATCATAAATTCCAGTTTAACGACAAGGTTCCGATTGGACTTTATCTAAATTTTGTAGAACCAGATTCTTTCCAGTGATTAATGAATTGATTTGAACGCTCCGGAGACATCTCTGATGCCAGATTTTGCTGTTCTGTGCAGCTGCAGAGCATCAGCTCCTGGGATCTATGGGCTGAATTCCTGATCTGCACTTCGGAGGTGTGTTTTTATTAGATTGTTCCTGTCTGGTCTTGCCCCCTTACCCCCCTCCAGCACAACACATTGTCTTCATCAGACAGGAAGACCCAAAGCTCAACAAACAAAACAAAACTTATCAACACATCGTTTTTGTGAGACGTTGCAGGTTCAGATCAGCAGAAATTATGTGAACAAGGCAGAGAAACGTTAAACCGGTCTGGTTAGTTCCTGCATCCCGAAAAAATGTATAAAAATCTCAGATTGCAGATTTCAAACACTGCTCGTTGTTTCTCTGCTCACAGCTGGATGTTGAACAATGGATGCTGTTTTCAGCTCTCGGGGAAGTCCACCGTAGCGTGACTTCATCACTGATACCAGCGTTGCACATATGGACTTCTGAAGGTTTTGAAAACAGGTTGGGCTCCTCAGCCTCCATCCTGTTTCAGTCCGCTTCAGGGTTTAAAAGACTTTTAAAATGTTTTATGAGGTCTGAAAAATGAGTCTGATGCTTCAAAAATAAAAGAAACATGATTTTCTTCATGTTTTTGTTTACACTGAAGATTTTTTAAAATCGTGACCTCATCGGGCAATGGAAAATAGGATTTTTCATGTAATTCAATCAACAAATTAAAATAAAAAAATACTCATCGTCTGCCAAGAAGAGCAGACATCAGCAATGATTGTATTAGTCTGGAGAATCAACCTTTCAAACAGGGACTGCATCGTTTAACAGTGAGGAAATGTATAAAACACTAAAATGCTCTAAAAGTGGACAAATCAGAAGGGTCATTCTGAGGTCAAACTATGTAACGTTACCTATTCTTTCTGAAAAAATTACATGGCTGCACGATTTAAGATGGATTTCTGGAAAAATTATACAAAACTGGAATTTTTTTGTCCCTAAAGCACAGCAGGAAGTTATGAGGAACACTTCACTCCAACTCTAAAGCACGGTGGTGGAAGGGTGATGATTTGTTGAAAAATTATGTGTCATAGTTCCAGTTAGTTTTATTTTCTCTCTCTTTTTACATCTTTTCTCCTACTGTGTGCTAAACTCAGCTCAATCTGTCCTGACTGTAATCTGATGTGAGAGCTGGATTTAGTAAGATTAAAGAACGCACTCCGTGTTCGTCACACACAGCTCAGAGGTTTGTCCAGATGACACGGCGACTGGATGAAAACCACCCAGGGTTTTAGTTTTCAGCTCAACGAATCACTGATCAGCTGTAGAGAATTTAGCAAATTATTTCTGTTATAATCATCCATCCATCCATCTTCTGAACCTGCTTGTACATGTAGGCTGGTGCCTATCTCCAGCGGTCAACGGGCAGTCAGGCGGGGTATACCCTGGACAGAGAGCCAGTCCATCGCAGCTGTTATAATCAAATATTGGAATTTTTTTTCTTTCTGATGCAGCTCAGATTTAAACATGCAGCAGCTCCGGAGCAGCTCTCAGGTCTGGCTCAAGCCTGAATCCACTCTTTTATTCCAGCTAACATGTAAAACAAGCAAAGAGCCAAAATACATCAAAGCAGCTCTAGCAGCTCAGTAACAGAGGATTTCTTTATCCTAACTGAGAAAAAAATTTTCTTCTGGTCACTTGGATCAGGCTGCATGCTGGGTTAACTTTTACAATGCTAATGCTGCTCAGAGGGGAGCTAACAGATGCTAATGAATGCTAATGGAATTGTGATGGAGACACGCTCCAGATGTGCTGGCCCTGGCCAGAGGTTACGGTTTTGCTCAAGTAATCATAAAAAATACTGAATAGGAGAATTTTTATTAATTAGCTCTTTATGTCAACCACCAGGTAGAACAAATTAACTAAAAATAAAAAAATATAAAAAGTGTTTAAAAGTTTAATACCCCTCACTGTTAGCTTTCTAAATTTTTAAAAATGGTGGGAAAACTTAAAAAAAAAAAGAACCTAAAATCCAGTATTGGTTGAAAAGAATATTATGGTATAAGAAGCTTATGTCCCCGTTAAAGGATTCAGGGTCCCTAGAGATTTATAACAATTTTTTACAGGATTACTTTCTTAATTAACATAACTTTTACTAAAGATCATTTTTGGAACAAAAAAAAAAAAAAGAGAAAAACCTTTTACCTTTCTTAAATTCAGAACATTACCAAAAACACACTTTTATTACATATTTGTTGGATTTGCCTGTTGTTAGTTTTACTATCAGTAGATTCTACTAAAGTTAATACCTTAATTTTATTTCCTTACCAATATTTATCACCTGCTGTATGTGAATAGGTTTGTGTTTGCCACATATCACACGAAACTCTGGGAAAACCATTTAAAAATAAAAGAAGGCCACCAAAACCAACAAAAAGTTTATAATTCTGTTAATTTTATATACTGGGCTAGAATTTGGTGTTTTGGTAGCTGAGAGTCATTCTTATAAAGTATTAAACGACACAAGATTAAACTCAGAACAAGAGAGGGAAAACAAGTTTCAGAAAAAAATAAATATAATTCAAAATGTCCAAGAATTTTTAAGGATGCTGGACTGAGGAGGGATTCACAAGGACGCTGTCGTAAATCTAAATTTAAACAGGACACTCGGGTTCCTGAAATCCTTCCCGTCCAGCGTCCCCCAGCTGGCGGGGTCGTCACCGAGGGGGTCGCTGCATTGCTCCTGGGCATGCTGGGAAAGAGGTTCTGTTCTCATGGTTTCTATATTTAAGTGTTAACAGGGATGCTTGATGCTGCTGCAGGGGTCAGAGTGCAACAAGCATGAGAGGGAGAACTGCTGCTGACGCTCCTGTTTACAGCTGGAGCTCTGTGGTAAATATGTTTGGAACCAGTCCAGACTAGTTTATTCTGGTTTTATTAAAGCTCTCCGGCTGACAATTCTGAATAAAAACAGAACCAATTATGACTTTTCTATTATTTTGTCAACATTAAAAGAAAAATGGCAAAGTAAAAATTTCCTTTATTTGTAGTACAAACATCACATAATTCATGTTACAATACAAAATAAAAACATCTATTTACAAACTGCAGGAAAGAAAAACCTCAGTTGAACTCAATCTGATCAATTCTGATGAGAAAATATTTCATCTCAGTTCAGTTTTAACGTCATCTTAATATAATTCAGCTGATCTTTAGGATTTTAATGATTAAACGTGATTACACACAGACTTTTCTTTTAAACTGTGATTATCCCACTTATTTACAACAAAAAACAATCCAGATTATTGATCTATAAGCAGTTAAATGTTGTTTGATAACACGAGAAAACATCACACGGACCTCAGGATGGTTTATAAATGAACAAAATGACATGAATATTTAAATAAAGATTTGTTAGGAAAACTTTAAATGACCTGAGTAGATCTGAACAAAATAAATCATGTTGTGATGTCATCATTAGTTAAATAAACCCTAACGGAGTGGAGAACCACAGTATAAAGTTTATTATATAAAAATATATATGTTGAATCTTTTTCTGAAGACATTATCATGTATATTCCTGCTTCTTATTTGTAAACTAAATAAATACTTATTTTGGAGAATTATTCAGATGTGTTGTTGCCCGACGTTCCTCACATTATTTGGTGTTTTAATCCAAATATTAAAGAAAGTAGATGTTTCAGAAGACTGAATCACTAAATACGAGAAGTCGCTGCTTGGTGAAAATTAACCAGCAACTCGCCTGTTTTGGGTTTTTTTAGTCAAAGGGACAAAAATACTTCTTTTGCTTCTTTGGGGAAAACAAAAATTGACACACTAATAATTTTATTCAGCGTTTAAGGAGCCAGGGTTGTGAATATTTACTGTGCAGAAGACAAAGAGTCAGCCATCTGAAAACCTCTACCTCTCACTGTTAATCACCTGACCCAGAGCAGGTGGGGCACACATGGACTTCTGCTTCTCCTCCTTAAAGTCTTAGTTTTCAAAATCTCCCATCACCTTTACCCGGGCCACCGGCTCTGGAGCTGGCTCCTGTTCGAGCTCCTGTTTTGGTCCTCCGGTGTCTGGAGGTTGGCTCAGAGCCTTGGTCAGAGCAGTAATCATCCCTGCTGACTCTTCTTGACGATTCCCCTGCTTCGTGCCGCAGGCCAAACTAAACGATCTGAGAGGTTTTGATAAAAAAATTGTCATCAAAAGAAGAAGTAACGTGACAGAAGGATAAATCTAATTTTCTGTCACAAGAAAAGATGCTCACCCGCGGAGGATCTCTCTCCGTGACTTCAGAGTGGATGAAACTTCACTGAACCAGCAGGCCAAAGTCAGAGCCAGCTGATCCATCATCAGACCATCCAGACCGCCATCAGAGACCAGCTGATTCCACCGAACCTGGAAAGACACGCCCCTCAGTAGATTAGTGACTCAGACGGACGGACCGGGTTAGAGCGTGGACCGTTGCAGACAGGACAGGTGAAACGGAGGACGATACCAGTAGGAAGTCTCGTAGCACTTGTGTCACACAGATTTCCAGCGGCTGCAGCTGGCGGCTGCTTCCCTGCGGGATGAAGGCCAGATCTGTGTTTGTGTCGGCCAGTCTCTCTTTGAATGTCTCCGTCAGGTGACCTCGGTGGACGTCCACCACCAGGAGGGACTCGTGGTTATGCTTTGAGGTCACGTGAGGACGCCACACCTGCAGAAACCAGGAGGTTAGAGAGGAGGTCACATGATCAGGAGCAGTGGGACGATCTAATATCGGCGTGGGTTCTAGACCTTATCGATCCAGATCTTCAGGCGTTCTTCATCGGTGAAACCTTCATTCCGAGCTTCCAGCAGCACGTTGTCGGGAAACTCGTCCGGGATGGCTGAAACAGTTCCGGTGAAGAACAACAAGGGGGGCAGGAAGATGCCATTGGACAGAGCCGAGACGATGATGTCGAACTTGGGTCTTATATCAGGCGAGCTGAACAGCTGGAAGGCCTCTGCGTTTTGTCTGAGGAACAGGTTGGTGTTGATGAAGACGGGAAGCTCGTCCATGCAGCCCAGGCAGTGATACGGCAGCGCTCCACCCTGGATCTGAAAGACGGGAAAAGGGATGCTGAAGTTGGACCAGAGCAGACGGGTCTGATGGTTCTGGATAACTGACCTTTTTGTGGAGGGACCTGACGAACATGCGCTTATCAGCCTGAATGTTCTCCAGCTTGTTGTTTGTTGTGGTCTGCAGGCCGAGGTCGTGCCTCAGCATGAAGTCGATGGTCCAACTGTAACACTCCTCCATCGAGGTATTCTCACCCAGAGTCTTCCTGGCCGTCGTCAGCAGGACATACTCTGTCACGCTCAGCTGCTGCTCCCTCCGGCTGAGAACCCACTCCGCCATCTTGTCCGTATTCCAGCTCCAGGTCTTCTGCATTAGGCTGCGATGTTGCAGCGTGATCAGGGCCCGGATGGCCTTAGGGGCCAGGCGGCATCGACGAGACACCACATGGATCCCATGACACAAGGAGGAGAGGACGATGGAGAGATGAACCAGTGACCAACTGGCTGAGGGCTGAGGAGAATAAAGTTAATTATTTAGATCTTTACTGGTTCTCCATCGATGTTCAAGCATGGTTTCATCTCACCTTGTCCGACTTCAGGAACGTGATGGTCATGGCCGGTTTGAAGAACGAAGACGAGGCGGACTTGAGGGGTTTGACCTTCAGCTGGGTGGAGATTGGCCTGGGCCAGTTGAGCTGAATCGGGACAAAGGCTCCATTTTCGTTGTTTGTTTCTTTACTGAGAGATTAGCAAAACAAATTTGAGTTTGACAATGTTGACGTGATTCAATTCTGCACAAACTCTCCTCTGATTTCAAGTTTGGTCCTTTTCAGGCTTTTTTTTTTTGGCAAGATCAGATAGAAAACGACACAACCAAAATAAAATGAATAAATCTCATGAACTACAAGGTGTATTTGAATTATTCTAATACCACAATACAGTTAGGCCTCCAGGGAATACTCCAGATTAGGGCTGGATGACAGTTCAATAACAATAAATATCCATGGATAGACATGTTGTGTGATAGAAGAAAAAAAGTCGATCAAAGGTTCAATAAGAACTTCATCATCTTTCATTCTAGCCTATCAGACAGCTTGATGTTGGAGTTACTCTGCTTTGGACCAATCATGTGGCAGAAATAGAGCCACACGGATGGAAAAGAAACAGTTAAATGTGTTAATCTTTGTGCAGCTGTAGCTGAAAAAGTAGAAAAAAGGTCGTGAACGTTTTTAGGTTATTTAACGCCACAGTAAAACACAAAAACCAAGTAGCTGCGCTGAGAATTACACCAGTGAAATGTAAAAGGATATGATCCAAGAACAAAGACTTTTTAAATACTCAGAAACTATTTATTGTGAATACATGTGAACAAAAGCAAACTAGTGGAAATTTAATGTTTTACTTGACAGAAAAGATTAAAAGGGACACAAGATGGGGAAAGGGGAAGTTAAAAGAGTCTAACTCTAATAAATAAATCATTTCTGGATGCAAATAACTTTGTTACAGCAGCAGTAGCATTATTCAAGGTTATATTAATTTTATTACACTGTTGAGGTTTTTGCTCTAATGGTTGTCTTGAGTTTTATTTTATTTATTATCCAGTTTGCTAGTGGGGAGAAGCGTCCCTCAGTAACCGGATTATGTCATTTTTTTATGATTATTCTTTATTTTTGTTTATACAAGTTTTACTGATACGTTTCGGTGCGTTTACCTGTCAGAGTTGTAATCCTGGACTGGTTTGAAACCGCCCCCTGAGACAGGATCACTGGCAGGTCGATCTACAACATCCTTCGCTGGAAAAGACAGGAAGGAAAAACATTTTCTGTATGTTGAGGTTTGTTGGAATCACTCTTTAGTTTATTCTCAACAGGGGAAAAGCAGCGTTTGATAATCTGCAAATAAAATTTTCCCCACGAACTTCACACAGGTGCGATTAGACAGAAGCATTTGACTTTGGTGCCATCTGGTGGTGATTTCAAGAATTCAGATGATCAAAATTAAGAGCTTGGAAATGTCTTTGTTTTTAATTAATGTCAGAAACTAGAAATCTAATAAATGAAATCCAACCTTAAACAAGTTTTTATTTCATCTTCAGTTGTAAATGAGGCACTGCTAACCAGTGTTGCTTTTGGCGGGCATCCTGGGTTTAGTCGTAGTCTAAGGCTTGGTTTATGCTTGACGTATTCACTTTCCGCTTGGTGATGCGGCTCGCGGATGGAACGCGCTTCACAACTCGCAGCGTTTATGGTTCACGCGGCTTGTCTCTGCGGTGAGCCAATATTCTCCCAAACTGTAGGGGGCAGCATGGAGCTCTACAGCATGCATCCAACACTACACCATAGTAGAAGTAGAAATTACTGTTTACAACATGACATTCCAGCATTTTTAACAGCGTCCTCGTCTTTTCCAACAGTGCGAGCTATTTCTCTCCAAGAATTATTAACAACATGTTGATCACGGTGATCTCTGAGAGCTGAATCATACAAATGTCTGTATTTACGAACCTCTGCCATACTAGTTCTTGCCAGTCCACCATTTTCTTCCGCGGCCGATCGCCCGCGTGGTTAGAAAATTTCCGAGGTGCGCGGTGCGGAAAGTTTGGGCCATGCGAAGGCGCGGTGGAGGGGCGTGGTTGTTAAAATGACGCAATTTTGCCGCGCGGAACCCTGCGGACCTCGCATAAACCAACCTTAAGGCATGCTCAATTCATCATCATTCATTATCATGCTGATTACTTAGAAGCTGAAAATCATTAACAAAAACAACACTGCTGATAACACTTTGGAAAATGTTGTGTGTGCTACCTTTATCTTCTATCATGGAGCAGACATGATCTGGCCTCTCTGTCAGGTGATTGGCCATTGCATCGCCTCTGTTAGTGGAAAACGTACACGACTTGCAATTTAACGTCTCCGACAACCTGAAACAAAACAAAAACATTATCTGTTTCTGCACATCAAGACTCTTTTAGATGATTTTTAACAATCTGGTTCTCCTGGTAACCTCGGGTCAAACAGGAAGACGTCTGGGAACAGAGAGGCGTTCCGGGTGGTATGATTACTGTAAACAAGGAAAAAGACAGTGTTTATTAAGAGCGTACATATGCTAACATGCAAAAAGTAGGCTGAATAAATAAGACTTTATTAGAGTCTGATCTACGTTGCAGTTGTGTTCTGACACAATCACTTCAAGGTATCTCAGAAAGATCAGAGGAAATGTGTGAAATGTTGGCATGGGTTCCTCCAATAAGCAGGTTTACAGATGACGGGTTTAAAGTGCAGACCTCTCCCTGGGCTGCCACCTTATCGTGGTGGAGGGGTTTGAGTGTCTCAATGATCCTAGGAGCTAAGTTGTCTGAGGCTTTCTACCTCTGGTAGGGTCACCCATGGCAAACAGGTCCTAGGTGAGGGATCAGACAAAGAGCAGCCCGAAGACCTCTTATGATGAATTATATAAATGGAAACCGTGTTCCCTCGCCCAGACTTGGGTCACCGGGGCCCCCCTCTGGAGCCAGGCCTGGAGGTGGGGCACGTTGGCGAGCGCCTGGTGGCCGAGCTTTCACCCGTGGAGCCCGGCCGGGCACAGCCCGAAGAGGAAACGTGGGTCCCCCTTCCCATGGGCTCACCATTCATGGGAGGGGCCAAAGGGGTTGGGTGCAGTGTGTGACGGGTGGTAGTCGAGTGCGGGGACCTTGGCGGTCTGATCCTCGGCTACAGAAGCTGGCTCTTGGCACATGAAATGTCACCTCCTTGGTGGGGAAGGGGCCTGAGTTGGTGTGTGACGTTGAGAGGTTCTGACTAGATATAGTCGGACTCACCTCAACGCATGGCTCTGGCTCTGGAACCAGTTTCCTTGAGAGGGGTTGGACTTTCTACCACTCTGGAGTTGCTCCCACTGAGAGGCACCGAGCAGGGGTGGGCATACTAGTTGCCCCCCATCTTGGTGCCTGTACGTTGGGGTTTACCCCAGTGAATGAGGGTAGCCTCCCTCCGCCTACGTGTGGGGGGACGGGTTCTGACTGTGGTCTGTGCTTATGCACCAAACTACAGTTCAGACTACCCACCCTTTTGGAGACCTTGGGGGGGGGGGGGGGGGGGGGGGCTGCTGCTGCTGCTGGAAAGCGCTCCTTCTGGTGACTCCCTCGTTCTGCTGGGGGACTTTTAACGCTCACGTGGGCAACGACAGTGAGACCTGGAGAGGTGTGGTTGGGAGGAACGGCACCCCGATCTGAATTTGTGTGGTTTTGTTATTGGACTTCTGTGCCAGTCATGGATTGTCCATAATGAACACCATGTTCAGACATAAAGGTGTCCATATGTACTCTTGGCATCAGGATACCTTAGGCCGCAGCTCGATGATCGACTTTGTTGTTGTTTCCTCTGACCTGCGGCCGCATGTCTTGGACACTCAGGTGAAGAGAAGGACGGAGCTGTCAACTGACCACTACCTGGTGGTGAGTTGGCTCAGATGGTGGGGGAGGATGCCGGTCAGTCCAGGCAGGCCCAAACGTATCATGAGGGTTTGATGGGAACGTCTGGTAGAGTCTCCTGTCAGAAGGAGCTTCAACTCCCACCTCCGACAGAACTTCCAAAATGTTCCGGGGGAGGCGGGGGACATTGAGTCTGAATGGACCCTGTTCCGTGCCTCCACTGTTGAGGCGGCCGACCGGAGCTGTGGCAGGATCGTCTGTGCCTGTCGTGGTGGCAACCCCTGAACCCGCTGGTGGACACCGGCGGTTAGGTATGCTGTCAAGCTGAAGAAAGAGTCCTATCAGGTCTTTTTAGCCTTTGGGACTCCAGAGGCAGCTGACAGGTACCGGTAGCCCAAGCGGAACGCGGCTCGGGTGGTCGTCAAGGCAAAAACCCGGGCATGGGAGGAGTTCGTTGAGACCATGGAGCAAGACTTCCATACGGCTTCAAGGAGATTCTGGTCCACCATCCGGCGCCTCAGGGGGGGAAAGCAGTGTGCTACCAACACTATCTATAGTGGGGACGGTGTGCTGCTGACCTCTACTCAGAACGTTGTGGATCGGTGGGCAGAATACTTCGAAGACCTCCTCAATCCCACCGACACGTCTTCCAGTGAGGAAGCAAAGTCTGGGGACTTTGGGTTGGACTCTCAAATTTCTGGTGCTGAGGTGGTTAAAAGCTCCTCTGTGGCAAGGCTCCAGGGGAGGATGAGATCCGCCCAGAGTTCCTTAAGGCTCAGGATGTTGTGGGGCTGTGTTGGCTGACGCGGCTCTGCAATATCGTGTGGACATCGGGGGCAGTTCCACTGGACTGGCAGACCGGGGCGGTGGTCCCCTTATTTAAAAAGGGGGGCCGCAGGGTGTGTTCCAACTACAGGGGGGTCACACTCCTGAGTCTTCCTGGTAAGGTCTATTCAGGAGTTCTGGAGAGGAGGATCCGTCGGATTGTTGAACCTCAGATTCGGGAGGAGCAGTGTGGTGTTCGTCCTGGCCGTGGAAAACTGGACCAGCTCTATACCCTTAGGGAGATCCTGGAGGGTGCGTGGGAATTTGCCCAACCAGTCTACATGTGTTTTGTGGATTTGGAGAAGGCGTTTGACCGCGTCCTTCTGGGGGTCCTGTGGGGGGTACTCCGGGAGTATGGGGTACCAGGCCCTCTGATACGGGCTGTTAGGTCCCTGTATGACCGGTGTCAGAGCTTGGTCCACATTGCCGGCAGTAAGTCGGGCTCGTTCCCAGTGAGAGTTGGACTCCGCCAAGGCTGCCCTTTGTCACCGATTCTGTTCATAACATTTATGGACAAGATTTCTAGGCACAGGGCATCCGTTTTGGTGGCCTGAGGATCAGGTCTCTGCTTTTTGCAGGTGATGTGGTCCTGTTGGCTTCATCAGAACATGATCGTCAGCTTTCGCTGGAGCGGTTTGCAGCCAAGTGTGAAGCAGCTGGGATGAGAATCAGCTCCTCTAAATCTGAGATCATGGTCTTGATTCGGAAAAGGGTAGAATGTCTTCTCCGGGTCAGGGATGAGGTCCTGCCCCAAGTGGAGGAGTTTAGGTATCTCGGGGTCTTGTTCACGAGTGAGTGGAAACTGGAGCGTGAGATTGATAGGTGGATTGGTGCTGCATCTGCAGTCATGCGGGTGTTGTACCGGTCTGTCGTGGTGAAGAGAGAACTGAGTCAGAAGGCGAAGCTCTCGATTTACCGGTTGATCTACGTTCCTACCCTCACCTATGGTCATGAGCTTTGGGTAGTGACCGAAAGAACGAGATCTCGGATACAAGCGGCCGAAATGAGTTTTCTCAGAAGAGTGGCTGTGTTCCCTTAGAGATAGGGTGAGAAGCTTGGCCATTCGGGAGGGGCTCGGAGTAGACCCGCTGCTCCTCCACATCGAGAGGAGCCAGTTGAGGTGGCTCGGGCATCTGGTCAGGATGCCTCCTGGACGCCTCCCTGGTGAGGTTTTCCGGGCACGTCCAACCGGGAGGAGACCTAAAGGTAGACCCAGGACACGGCGGAGGGACTATGTCTCTCACCTGGCCAGGGAACACCTTGGGATTCCCCGGGAGGAGCTGGCCCAAGTGGCTGGGGAGAGGAAAGTCTGGGCCTCTCGCCTTAGGCTACTGCCCCCGCGACCCAACTCCGGATAAGCGGATGAAAATGGATGGATGGACATACTTGATCATGTGGTTGGCGTAGGTGCTGCTGCAACAGGTGGAGAACCTGCAGATGGAGCAGTGAATGAGAGATGGGAAATGAGTTTTGACATCTGGGACATCAGTGAGACACTCGACACATCGCTGGGAGGGGTTGAAATCCCTGAAACAGAGAAAAACACTTCAGTGAGTCAAGTTTTAACATTTCTGTGTGAGAAAATGTTCATCAGCACCATAAAAAGATTAAATCAGACGGCTCATTAACAAAAAAAACCTCAATTTACTTTCCCTTTAATTAAAGTGATATATGTAATGCATATATGTATATCATGTGGACATCAAACAAACCTGAATTGCGGCTTGTTTCTGATGTAATAAATCACACATTTACTGATTTCCAGCAGAACAATTAATCAACAGAATTACTTGGAGTAATAACTTTTCATATTTCATGGAAACAAATTAAACAATGTTTATACATTTTTAACCGTCCAAGAATCTTTCATAGCTGATGTTATTAATGTTAGTGCTAATGTTAACTTAGTTGTGCTGAGGGAGTTTAAAAACAGAAAATAAAGAGTTCATAAACCTCACGGTTTCACACGAGAACAATTATTTATGAAAACAAATGAAAAAATGAAAATTTCACTGTTTTAGTGACCATTTTATTGAAAACCACTGATCAGTCTTTTATTAACAGGAAATCAAAGCCTTCAAAATAAAAAGTCTGATAAAAAATAAGAATCATGAGTTGAACTGAAAATTTTACAGGATTTTATATCACCTTTAGGTCATTTGAACCTTTACAGTTTTCAGAATCAAATATATTTTCTGCAAGTTAAATAGATTCATAACAGAAAATAATCCTAACAAATGCTGGTAGAAAAAGAAAGAATATTTTAAATGAAAAAGGTGGAATTAATGAACATGAGAACAAACAAAATTCTTTAGTTGCGTTTTTAAACTCAGGACTTCTCGGCGGTGTTTTCGTACCTGTGGGGAGTCAGACCCGACAGAAGAGAGCCCAAACTCTCAAACGGTTTCTTTACGGGATCGCTGTCCCTGGGGGGAGGCGCGGTGACTTCCACCACCTGACAAAAAGAAGCAGGAAAGAGATATTATGTCAATCTTTTAAAGTAAAAAGAATTAAAAAACCGACTCAAAGAGGATGCAAATAATTGGTTACTTTAAATCTCGTCTTTCACCTTTACTGGTCTTTAAACTAATGATTAAATTCAAACTAACTTTGCATGGGACAAATGTCCTCTTCTGCCCTTCTTCGGTCTCAGAGCTTCCAACAGCAGAATACGACCTGACTGTGACCTGCACAAACACAACTTCAGTAGATGTGGAGAGCTTCCATTCAGCACATCTTATGACACCAAATCCAGTGTTGGTGCTCTGGGCGTACCTTGGTTCCAGCTTTGAGTCCGCTGAGCTGAGGTGGAGTCACATAGGTATTGTGATGCTGCTCTCTGTGGTGGGCTCGTTCTTTAACGTACAGGAAGTGAAGGCGACACTTGCTGCAGGTGATCATTTGCTTCTTCTAAAGACGCAAAAACACAACTAGGGATTTGTTTTACCACTGCAGAGAGAGACGTTTGGGCTTGGAGCGAACCAGAGAAGCGGCGTGTACCTGATGGTGGACAACATGCTGTAGGTAGCAGGCGCTGCTGCGTAGTATTCTGAGGCAGTACGGACACAGCAGGGTCCTGGTGTCGACGTGTGCCTCCCTAAAGTGAGACCAGAGGTCGGAGTAAAAGGACGTGCGGAAATTGCACACCTGCAGACAGAAATCAGGGCTGAGTTAATTCATCTAAAACTGAATGAGGAGGAAGAGCAGGCAGTGCTTGGTGCTCTGTAACCGACCTGGCAGACATACGGCATCTCTCCGGGTTTGTGCATGCTCCTCATGTGACACAGCAAGGCTGGCTGACTGTCGAACGCTAGCTCACAGATCTTACACATCACTGAAACAAGAACAAACAGTTCCTATCGTCTTGATTTAAACGATAAAGAATCCTGCTGTTTATAACCGTCGTGTGAAAAACAATCAGGAAGCTGCTAATTAGAGACAGAGTTACACGTTTGAGTGCAGACCAACCTGTCGACTCGTGCTGGCGGTGAACTTCCAAATGACACTGCAGCCTAAACGAAGACGGGAAACGTCGGAAACAGTGTGGACAGACGGATGACGAGTCCTTCTTTTCGTCCCGCTCAGACATGCTGGACACATGCTGTTGCACGTGATCCATAAACCTGGAACACACACAGGAAACAGCAGGATTTGAGTGAAATGTCCTCAAATCACAGCAGCAATCAGAGTTTGGGATGTCTAGTGTAACCCATCTGGCATCACAGGAAGACCACTGTGTGTGTGTGTGTTATAAATGCATTAATCTTACTTGATGTTGTTGCACAGCATCTTGGAGCAGTAGATGCACCGGAACGGCCCGCTGAACTTCTTGTTCAGCAGGCTGTTTGAGGCAGTTCCGGCAGCTTTGCCGTAGTAAAAATCGTCCACCAGCACCACCAGTTTGCCCTGAGGAATGTCGTACTGTGGTACGAACCCCTCCAGCTTTACCAGGCTGTCGTCGCCGGGGGAGGAGGGGCAGCTGAACTCATCTGACAGGAAGTCATCAGAGAATCGACGAATCTTTCGAGGAGGAGAGGTGAACTTCACCTTGAAGAGACAAAAGAAATAAAGGAAATAATCAGCTCCGCTGTCCGCTACAGCAGTGAGTGAGACACGAGAACCCTAAAATATAAACTCACAGCTACTGGTTGTGGTTTAGGACTGGGGACCGTGTGGGACAAGTCAGGGACTTCCATCTTCTTCAGCTTGATCTTCATTCTCTTCTTCCGTTGCTCTTTGATCCTCTGCTTCTTTAAGTTCGCCAGACCCAAAGCGACGCCAGAGCAGCACCTCTGAAGGTTCAGGAGGGGGAAAAACATTTAGTCTGAGATGGCAGGTTTACAGGCGAGATGAGAATCCTGCAGAACTCACACACATGAAGCCTCTCAGCTGTGTGATGAGTTTGTACGGAGACGAGCAGACGCTACAGTTCGGGGGAGCGATGGGTTCGATCTCACCTGAGAAAAGAGAAACGAAAACACACCTGAGCCTCGACTATGATGGATATGTGATGTTTTCCTGTGTTTGGCACCAGCTTTGTGTAACAATCTGACCTAAAGCTGACAGCGGTCTACAGGGTCCGAAATTAAATTTTTTACTCACCGGCCAAGTTGGCCGGTAGATGAAGAAAATCTACCGGCCAAGCATATTTTTTACCGGCCAAAATTCTAAATGATTTAGATCCACCTAAAGCATGTAATTCTATATTATGTTGATTCCAAACAGAGTGACAAAATAATTAAAACTTCAATTAATAAGGAAAACAACTATTTTGTCATTTTTACTATTTATTTATTTATTTTTAGAGATGTTTTTATGAACTCTTTCATTGAAATCTAGTCAGACTCCTTGTTTTCTCTGTCCATGAAGTCTGGCCTCCTGCTTCTGACACCGTCTTTGTGCCAAAGCATTACAGCCTCATTTGGGTCCTAGTCCTTGATCTCTGGAGAACACAGCTGCACCATGAGAATATCTGAAAGTGTGTCAGGGCTAGGGTTGTCACGGTAACCGGTGTAGCGGTAAACCCCGGTAAAGAAGTTCACAATAATAATAACCGTCTTGGTTTTTAAAAAAAAAAACATATATTATCTCGGTGGATTACCGTGGCTGCGGTGTAGGCGCGGTGACCCTTACCAGCCACCGTATCATCTGCTGAAGATGCCGGCGGCACATGCACACTTTGTTGTTTACGACCAAAACTTTCTTTAAGCTAAAGCTGAAATAATGGCAGGAGGAGACGGCAGCACTCGGGAAATTTATTATCCCTCAAAGAAGACAAAGTCGGAAGTATGGGCATTTTTTGGATATTTGAAGAATGCCGAGGGACAGTTGTCTGTGAAAGGCAGCAACGCTACGTGGCCATCATAATGTAGCCATTGTCTCACGACTCCGCCGTCTCCAGTTCGCCACTTTTCACAAAATCTTCTGGTTGCCACTGGTCCTGGTGGTTTTTCTTCCAGTTCGACGAGTTTTCTTTTGGAAGACTGGCTGATTCCAGTTAAAAACCACCACAATTCACCGCTAGTTTTAACACGAAGCTAACGGCTAACTTGATAAACTGATTGAATGGGATAGGTGGAAATGACGTTGGATGCGGCGTTCACGTTTGTGTACGTTGCGTGCAGGCGGGAGGAGTATCAGAAATCCATGGAAGATGACTGATAAACATAACTAATTTGGTGCTAACATTTACTCGCCATGTGGCAGATAGAGCTAAAAAATTTACTCACCTAATGGAGCAATTTGCTCGCATTTGGCGAGTGGCGAGTGTTAATTTCGGACCCTGGCGGTCTACAAAGCAGATTCAGATGTTAAATCAAACCTTTCCGCAGTAGTTTTTCTGGAGCCATGAGCTTCTTTTCTGAAATAGAATTCGTCTCTGGTTTTGGTTGAGCTTCCTTTGATTTTGATTCCTCAGCAGGGGAGACAAAACCAGATTTGAAGTTCACATAATGGTCATTCAGAACCTTCGTGGCCGCTTCACCCGAAACCACACCTGAATGAGACAGTCTGGTTTAGTTTTAGAAGCATCTGATGTTTTTTAAGCTTTAAGATGACAGTGGTAAGCACCTGTGATCACAGGGATGGGCTCAGGGCTTGGCTTGGGAACAAATTTAGGAGTCTTGATGAAGGAGGTTGCACCATCAGACTGGAACGCTTTGGTGGAAACGCCCTCAGAACTGTGGAGGGTCACGGTGGCGGGGATCTGGATGGTAGTGAAGCCACTAGCTGAACCTCCAGGGTTACAACGAAGCTTAAACTGTGCAACGTCACCTGCAGGACACACAGAGGCCTTTACAGACACTTTTCTGGTGTTCAGTTAAAAGCTTTCAGACATATAATCCTCATTTTTTACGGCTAAAATAAAATCCTAATGTCTTTTTCTACGTGCATCACATTGAAGAAGTGCAGACTGACCTCCAGGTTTGAGGGAAGCCAGTCGCCCGTTGACCTTGAAGCCCAAAGTAGGAACTGCGAACTGAAAACATCAGGTGGGTTCATACGACTGTTTAAAATCTACCAGAGAAACGTGGAGCAAGTTGTTACAGACTGAAATAATTAATTACATAATCAAAAGCAGTCTTGGTGGATGTGGGGGGCATGCCGTTGGTCATTTCCTGGTTTGGGATGGGAATGATCCTGGCTTCTGGAAGTTTGCTTGGACCTGTGTCTTCCTCCTTCAGATCAAAGATATTCCAAAACACTGCACACAGATAAACAAGAGCTTCTTTCAGCTGCCTCAAAATATAATTTTATAATTCTATATTACGATTATAACACAATAATAATTAGTTAAACCCAAACATTTATCCAACTGACATCTTGGTCATCAGTTTGTTTCTGATTAGGTCTTCTGTCACACGTGTGACCCCTGAACTCTCACCGATATTGGGTTTCTCCATTATTGCTTCATGCCTCTCAGGTGAAGCAGGGACCTCCTGTTCCTGTTCAACACACTCCATCAGAAGGCCACCTTCTACTTCTGCCTCCGTTTTCACCAAGTCCACACCAGCCAAGAAAACAAAACAAAACAAAAAGCATGCAGAACGTTAATTATAGGCAGGATGTAAAGCTGATGTGCTTTCTGTGACTACAAGTGTCTAAAAATATTTAGAGACATAATTAACTGGTTTAAATCACTACTATTAAAATGTACTAAACCACTAAAGATAACATCATGACAGTTTTCATAGCAACTACTATGTAATAACATTTTAAAGTATTACAAATGGGAAATATTAGCAGCCTTAGGATGGAACAAATAGGAGCTAAATAAAAAGACAACTGAGTAAGAAGCTGAGTGATGTGAATAATTATGAGAGATGTTTACATTCTCTAAATGATAAAAAGATAAAAAGTATTGTCTAGGTTAGCATGAAACAAGTAGGCAATAATATTATGGTAAATAAAAGTCATTCTTTCCTACAAATCTGTGACACCATGACCTAAAGGAATCACTTAATTATTTTTCCTTTTCATATAAACTGGGACATGTGTAAAATAATAAAAGGCGCAGGTTTTTAGAAGTAAAAAAATTAAATTGCACAAAAATAATAAATAAAAATAACTACTTTATTTAAATCTAAATTATACCATTAGATTACATAAATCGTGTTTAAATATAGTTTTTAGATCACTCCTGCATATTTATATTAGGATAACACAACAAACTATGAGTCTTATATGGAAAAAAGGTACAGCTGTGGCTTTTATTGGTCAATTTTTGATAAATAACCTTGTGCAAAATCTGTTTGCACCCTGGGGATGTGGTATGAATATCCATTTTCATAATTTCATTGGTTTAAAAAGCCAAATCCCAACTTAAATTATTTATTAGTTGGTATATGTTTCATAAAACTATGATTTTTCTGAGGTCAATAGTACAAAACCATAAGAAATTACTTTCTATAAAAAAGTTAAATCTTGCACTAAATGCTAACTATAGCGCGTATAAATATTTAACTGAAGAAAAAATATGTAACTTAATAAATCTGTATATTCCCACATTTTAATACAACATTGCAAAATTAACTGGCGCTACTCGGTGCTACTGCAAAGATAATCTTCAAAAGTTCACACCCATCATCTTCATTGAATTTGACTGTTCTCGCTAGTTTAATGCTATTATTGTTTGAATTCTGTGAAACTTCAGTCATATTTTATACATTTAGTTTTCAATTTGATACATTTTGGTCGTAACAGGAATTACACAGGGTCTTTAAAGTTCTCCAAACTTAAGAATTGATCTTCTAACTGACCCACGAAGCTAAAACACTTAGCATGTAAAGCTAGCAATCTAAAGTTCTAGAACAGGTAAAACCTCCCAATTACAGAAATAATCAATGCTAACAATTATTAACTTAACTCTTACTTGTTGCATAATTATCCAAACAAGCACTTAAAAAGCTGCTATAATTTTTTTTAACAGAGGTATTTCTGCACGCACGATCATGTCCCCGTAGCGCCTCCCTCCCCCTCTTCCAGTTTGGAAATTAGCTTGCAGTGCTAGCATGTTAACTAGCCTAGCAGCTAAATCTTTGACTTTATAAACTCTGCACGATGTACGTTTAAAAAAGAATGTCTCTTGTGCGCTTACCTTCTCCTGTCCTTAAGTATGATAAGTAGATGTTGATTCCGTTAAAATTCCAATCATAAAACTTAGAAATTATAAAACTAAAGAATGAAAATGTTTCCTAAACACAATGTGAGCGGTCACCATGCAACAAAATCACATCTGCGAGGGCTTCCGTATCCCTCCGCAATCCGCATTCGCGCTACTGTTACCACTGTTCTGTATTGGCACTATATTAGCGCGGAGTGATATGAACTCGCAGAGATGGAGCAGCCCTGAGAGTTTAGTTACTGAACAATAAACACAAGAATAAAAATGAAACTGCATTTTCTTTCTTATCACTGTACATTTGCTAATAAATAAAAAATACAAGCAGCCTCAATGCGATATGTCAATTCTGACAGAACATTTTCAAGCTACTATTTGAAGGAGAACTACTGTGGATGCTAACCGACGCTAACTCAGATTAGCTTCAGCAAATAGCTTTAGGGATTGCAAAAAAAAAACCACAAAATTGCACTAATTAAAATTAGTATATTTTAAATGGACACAGACAGTTTATTTCAACAATAGCAAAGCAGAAATTCTTTTCACAAAGTACGGAATAGTATACCAGCTATTTTGTCAGCTGCAAGTTATAACTAGTGAACAGATGGTCAGCTAGCTTTAAAAAAAATCAAGTTTAAAAAGAGATAAAAAAGAAAATAAAATGTCTTTATCAGTTTTGCTTGTTTAATGTCATTTGGGCTTGCTTGACTTGAAGCTGAATAAAACTGTTGCCTAAACTGCCTTCCTACTGTCAATAAGTATCTAAAACCTTGTTAGCAAGAGCTAGCATGTGACTTGCAATTTTAACACATACACTTTACCACGATTAATTAAAATCCATTATTACTGTATTACTGCCACTTGAATGAGAAATGTACTTTGAAATCACTATATTTTCTGTTTGTCATTAAAACTCAACTTTTCAGCTATTTGTAAACATTTTATGAATGCAAAAAAAGGAGAAACGTGTGGTCACGTGACGTACGTACGTACGACGCTTATACGTCAGAAACCCGGAAAAGGCTCGCAGAAGTGTTGTCACAAGAGATACATCTCTGTAGATGAAAGGATACAGACTAAAATCTTCTCGACAGAGTTTAGAAAATATTCTACAGCTGATTTTGCCATTTGAGTTGTTTGGTTTTTATTATAGTTGTGTCACTGCGTTGCTATCATGAACTTGACGCTCGCGGTGAAGCAGTATATTTCTAAAATGATCGAGAACAGCGGGCCTGGGATGAAGGTTCTGCTCATGGACAAGGAGACGGTGAGACGCCGTCAGTTAAACATAGATTATTTTTATTTATTTGTAGAACTAAACACCTTGTCGCACTTCTTCATACTGCGTGTGTTACAGTGAAATGCTGCATGTGGTAGTTACAGTTGTGCTATGTGTTCGTAACTGTTTTGACCGTTTCATTTGCTATAGGAACCCATATCTTATTTGTTTTTACAAGTTTTGGATCCCAAATATCAAACGGTTCATGCATCAGTTGCAGATTTTAAGGCAATGAAAAGATAACACAAGACATTTTTTAGTAATCAGTAATAAATCAAAATTTTAAAAGATGACAGAAAACATTTTGGTTTCATTTTAGCAGCTAAAGTTAAAAGCCAAGAAGCAGTTGGAGTCAAATACTAATCCATACGCTGCTGAAACTCTTATTTTCTCAGAGTTTTTTGATGATCGGCACAAAAAAAACCCCATCAATGATTACTGGTGTTCATTTTTTGGGTATTGATCAGTGTATATGTTTAAAATATTCTTCCTTAACTAATATTTTGTATTTGTAAGAAATGCACCAAATCAGTTAGAATGAAAGTAAATATTTTTCATGTGTGTATTCAGACCAGTATAGTGAGTGTGGTGTACACCCAGTCTGAGATCCTGCAGAAGGAGGTTTACCTGTTTGAACGCATTGACTCTCAGAACAGAGACAGCATGAAACACCTCAAAGCCATTTGCTTCCTTCGTCCCACAAAGGTACTAAAATCTGCAGCTTACTTCTGTGTAAAAGTCACATTGATGATAATATTCATATTTTATTTATGTTTCCTGCAGGAGAATGTGGAGCACCTGATCCAGGAACTAAGGAAGCCAAAATACAGTGTCTACTTCATCTGTATGTCACTGCAGTAACATTGATGTCAACTGTCTAGTTTCGTGTTTTATTTGATCAAACCAGCTGACCGCTGTGTTTTTAATTCAGATTTTAGTAACGTGATCAGTAAGAGTGAGATCAAGGCTCTGGCTGAAGCTGATGAACAGGAGGTGGTGGCTGAAGTCCAGGTGAGTTTCAGGTGCTAAACAAACTAGCTTCCTGTTTTGTTAATGTTGATAAAACACCAAGAGCTTTTATGTTTGTGTGTAAATAAATATGTGTGTGTGTGTGGGGGGGTTGTTTCTGCAGGAGTTTTATGGAGACTTCATTGCCGTGAATCCTCACCTATTCTCCCTCAATCTGCAGGGAGTTGCCAGGGTAAGAAAGATGGAGGAACTAAGTTTACTGATGATTTACACTTTCTGCCTGACAGTAAAAACAAATAAATAAATGCTCTGCACGCCCTCATCCACACTGATGCAGTAGGTGCTTGACAGCTGAAGGATATGGAGATCTGCAGATCGAAGGGACCCACCAGGATTATACATCATAGTTTTCAGAGATGTGACTAGGGCCTGGCCCATTTAATGACTTGTACAGAATTCATACTGCTTTGAAATCAATTCTCTACTGAACTGGAAGCTAATGCACGGTCCTGAGACTTGGTGTAAAGTGATCCCTTTTGTGTTTATGTTTATTTATTTAGCAGACGCTTTTATCCAAAGCAGCTTACAATTTATAACCTATAGGGCATGTTGTGATCTGTGAGGGAAACCGTAGCACCCGGAGGAAACCCACGCATGCATGGGGAGAACACGCAACTCCACGCAGAAAGGCTGCAGCTGAGTTTCGAACCTGCAACCTTCCTGCTGCGAGGCAACAGTGCTAACCACTGCACCACCATGCAGCTCCTTTTCTTAGTTCTGGTTAGAACGCTGGCAGCTAAATGAGCTGAAGCTGTCTAATGGACTTTTTAGGAATCTGATGAGAAGAGCATTACAGTAATCAACCCTGCAGGAGATAAAGGAATGTATGTTTTTCAAGATCTTGATGGGACACAAAGTCACAGACTTTAGCTGTTTTTAAGATGACAAAATGATGACTTCACTATCGATTTAATACGTTCATGGAAATGGAGGTCTCTGCCCATGATTACACCAAGATTTTAGGCTTTTAGATTGAAGTAAATGGGTTTTGTTTACATGATCTGGATTTGCCAGATCCAAGTGCATCATTAAAACTGCACCATAATGCACTTTGTGCAGAATGCAAACTATCAGAAGTAGTGTGATGTTTAGTTTGTTGCTCTTCAGAGAGCATCTTCTAAACTAGCACCCTCCCTGCACCTGTCCCCCTTTCTACTGTCCACTCCTTTGTTCCCTCCTCTCCATGATTGATGTCAAGTTGTTGATGTTATTGTTGTTGTTAGCCTCAAGGGCAACATGCCGATTATCACTTGTAAGTCGCTTTGGACAAAAGCGTCTGCTAAATACATAAACATAGTTTAGGCAGCTTGAGTCCTGCTATTTTTCATTTTATTTTGACACACACCACATCTGTGGCCTTTTTCAGCTGGTGACATGTTGATTTAGCTTCTTCTGGAACATTTGTGGCATGTGAAGGTCGACTGGTGTGCAGCACATCTGGATGCGTCTGAGCTTATGTGTGTTTGTTTGTATGTTTTAGGGGCGGAGCTGGGAACCCACCATGTTGTCTCGCTGCACTCAGGGTCTGACCTCCGTCCTGCTTGCTCTAAAGAAATGTCCAATGATCCGCTACCAGCTGTCCTCAGACATGTCCAAACGTCTCGCAGAGACCGTCAAGGTTTCCATGACAACAACACTCCCACTAACACACATCCTGTAACGTTTGCTTTTCAATTCAAATTCAATTCAAAATACTTTATTAATCCCAGAGGGAAATTGATTGCTGTAGTAGCTCAGAATAATAATAATAATGAAGTCATCAAAGAGTTATTGTATATTACAATGGCTGTTGACAGGAAGGATCTCCAGTAGCGGTCAGTGTTGCAGCGAAACTGAAGAAGCCTCTGACTGAAGACACTCTTCCGTTGTCGGACAGTCTTGTGAAGAGAATGCTCAGGGTTGTCCATCATTTTCTTGATTCTCTGGAGAATCCTTCTTTGCATTATCTCCTCCAGCGGTTCCACAGTCATCCCCAGAACAGAACCAGCCTTTTTTATTAGGCTGTTGAGCCTTTTCAGGTCCCTGCTTCTGATGCTGCTACCCCAACAGACGATGGCTGAAGAGATTACACTCTCAACAACAGACTTGTAGAAGATCTGCAGCATCTTGCTACAGACACTGAAGGACCTAAGCGTCCTCAAGAAGTGCAGTCTGCTGTGTCCCTTCTTGTAAACGGCTTTGCTGTTCTTTCTCCAGTCCAGTCTGTTGTCCAGGTGAACTCCAAGGTATTTGTATTCCTCAACCACCTCACTTCTTCTCCTATGATGGAAACAGTGTTTGACTCCACCCTGCTTCTTCTGAAGTCTAAAATCATCTCCTTTGTTTTGTTCACGTTCAAGGTCAGATGATTATTTCCACACCATGCCACAAAGCGCTCCACCAGCTCTCTGTACTCAGCTTCCTGTCCATCTCTGATACACCCGACAACTGCAGAGTCATCTGAGTATTTCTGTAGATGACAGGTCTCTGATTTGTACTGGAAGTCTGAGGTGTACAGGGTGAAAAGGACTGGTGAGGGTACAGTCCCCTGTGGTGCTCCAATGTTACTGATCGCCTGGTTTGATGTGCAGTTCTTCAGCCTCACAAACTGTGGTCTGTTTGTCAGGTAGTCTTTAATCCAGGCGATAGTTGAGGCCCCCACCTGTGTCTTCTGGAGTTTCTGGCAAAGTACATCAGGCTGGATTGTGTTAAATGCACTGGAGAAATCAAAGAACATGACCCTCACAGTGCTGCCTGCTTTGTCCAGATAACAGTGGATTGGTTGAAGCAGCTGGATGATGGCATCTTCAACTCCAACTCCATGACGATAAGCAAACTGCAGCGGGTCCTGGTTTGTTCTAGTTCGCTTATTCAGGTGGACCACCTGGAGTCTCTCCAGGACCTTCATGATGTGGGATGTCAGGGCAACCGGTCTGTAGTCGTCATTGACTTATGGGCGAGTTTTCTTTGAAACTGGAACAAGGCAGTTCACCTCGGTGGCATTTGAACCTTATTTCAGAGGGAAATGTTTGGTCCTAGTGCTTCATTCTTTAGATTTTAACAGCTTTTTTTCTTTAAAACAAGTAGATTTTAAAAAACACGAATGTAGCACAATTTATGTGTAAAACAATCTCATGGATTATAATTTTGTTTATTGTAGAAGCTTGAAGTATATTTATTAATGCTTTTAAATAATTTTAAAGATAGATCATGTTAGTTTGGCATGTTGCTGCTTATTCTCTTCCCAGCAAATCATAACGAAGGAATATGAGCTGTTCGACTTCAGGAAGACTGAAGTTCCTCCTCTCCTGCTGATTCTCGACCGAAGCGACGACGCCATCACACCGCTGCTCAACCAGGTGATCAACCAGAAATCAAGCTGTAAACCCTGGATTTAACTATAGTTTATTTAGTAATAAACTTTTAAGATTAAAGCATTTAAAAAAATTTGTTTAGAAAATTTGTTTTGAATTAAAATGTTATATTTGTAAGATTATTATTATCATTAGTATTAGTAGTACTAGCTGTAGTAGTATTTTAAATGAACTATTTTTTCATACTTTTATGAAAAATTTAGGATTTGAAGTATAATTTCTCTAATATCAGCAAGTTTTTAATAATTTCAATATATTTTATAAGCATTTTTTCTTATTTCTTTTACAGTTATCAATTGTTTTAATAGACACATATACACACACACATATATATATATGTATATATATATATATATATATATACATATATATATATATATATATACATATGTATATATATATATATATATATATACATATGTATATGTGTGTGTGTGTATACACACTAGGGGTTGTATGAACTAGTCGACTAGTCGACTTCACTGCTCTGTAGTGACTTTTTATGCCTGTCATCGACTAGTCACTGTCATGTGATAATAAGCGAGACAGCAGGTGATGAGCTCCTGCGCGTCGGGAGGCGGAGGCGACGCGCTGTGCCAGAGCGTCGGTACTGACACCCGCGATAAAACGGACATTTAACCAAATTGTGACCTTTACCCTCTTGCAATTTAACCTTCCCCTCACCCCCATCCTAACCTTAACCAGCTTGCACATGCAAAGCTCTGATCGTTGACTCGCTCCAGACATCTGCGTCCTGAGCACGGCCACAGTAACATTATCAAATTAGGTGTCGCCACCTCAAAAACAAATTTAACACGCGATCGTTCATGTCGCCACATTTCCTTTTATGTTTTCTGTCTTTTATTTGTGCCTGATTGGCTGCTGTGGATCGGGGCACATCACCTGTTTTGTCCTCCGGTGACGCACCTAACTGACGCGGCCGGCGAGCACTCTGCTGTTTTTGCGATCGGTAGATCTTTTAGAACTGCAGTTCAAAGGTAACTCATAAGGTGAATATATATGAACCCAGGTAGCAGTTTTTCTTTAGGATTGAGAGGAGATGCAGGAAGATAATAAACAGACAGGACAGAAAAAGTCAAATAAAAACAAGTTAGTTTTTGTACCTTGTGGTTGCAACAAGGAACAGAAAAGGAAATACTTATTTTAATGTTTAGAGCAGCAGGAACTCTGAGAGGCTGCAGGCGCATTAGTGAGTTTTCGGCCTCTGCGCAGGGGGAGGGGGAGAGGGCTGAAGCAGAAACTACCGCTGTTAAAAGAAATGTGTTTAACTTTGAAAATATGGGCGCAATTTTAATTGTCAAAAACTCCAGCAAACCCCCCACCCCACCCCTTCAGGTGTGTGACGTCATCAACGACTAGTCAAAGTCGACTCGATTTTCATTACTTGACTCGACTTAAAAAAATTAAGTCATGCAGCCCCTAATACACACACACACATATCACACACACACACATACATATACATACATATATATATATATATATATATATATATATATGTATGTATGTATATGTATGTGTGTGTGTGTGTGTGTGTGTGTGTGTGTGTGTGTGTGTGTGTGTGTGTGTGTGTGTGTGTGTGTGTGTTATTTTTTCACACCCAGTTGGAGATCTAGATTAAGCATTAATTGTCTTTTAGTGTTTTTCATGATATTTTTGCAAGTTATTGCTTAAACCACAATAATACAATGAAAAAAGTAACGATAATAAACAAATAATGAAGTAAGATCCGTTTGTTTAAACTGTAAATCTGAAATCTAGGTTTTGCTGTCTCTCTTTCCTCTCATGTACAGTGTATTAATTTTAAAGGTGCATTATGTAAGAATGTAGTGAGAATTTTACTGTGAGAAAATCCAAAGAGTCTGATGTTTCAGTCATTTTGGAAGGAAGATTTTACTGGAACATATTTCATATCCAGCTGCCTGCAGGGATTGTCAGTTTTTCTCCTTTCAAAACAAAGGAAGGAGGGACGCAACTGTTTACTATCAGTGAGTGTGGGGTTGTCGTGTCTCCTGCGAGCTAGTACTGCAGCGCCGATGGTTGTGATTTGATGAGGGATGGCAGTAAGCTCCAGAGGTGTTTTAAGTGGTTGCAGTAACCAAATTTTGCCACAGAATGTAGTTTTTACTTCACTTCTACATAATGCACCTTTAATCCTGGACTTAAAATAATCTGAACATAAAACAGTTCTGGTACCAGTGTTGTGCCCGAATGTGTTCATTGAACGATCGTTCGTGAATTTGTTTGTTTTTTCGTAAACGTGAACTGAACTCTTTCGTATTTTGCCTGACAAACGTAAAAGTGAGTGCGTTCGTCCTGGCGTGCGTGAACAGGTTTTTGAACGCGTTCTTTCACCGTTCTAGCTCCAGATCTCCACGGAGCTTTTCCAGAGCTAAAGCCTAGCTAAAACATCCTGTTAGTTTATAAAAAGTAGAACCCGCAAATGCGGCCAAACATAGGCAGTAGCGGTTGGTGCAGCGTCTACTCTTCTACGTCTATGCTGTGTGCAGGAGTCGAAGTTCATTCAGAAAAATTTAAACAGGACTTAACTGAAAGATTATTAATTTTTTAATGTTTTGCACTTTTAATGTTGCACTTTGAGTTTGCTACCTCAGCCTGGTTCTTAAGACTGTTCAAATAATGTTTTCCTTGTGTTATTGAGGATATACTGTAGGGTAAAACCTGCAGCTGGGTATGAGTGTGGACTGAACTATTGGAAAAGTATTTCATAAGTTATTTATATGAGAAAAAGAACTATGAACTAGTTTGTTTTTAGAACAGTGAACTTAGTTCAAAATTTGTTAAACTATGAACTAAGAAACAAACTAGTTCGTTTTAAAACGTATGAACCGAACTATGAACTAGTTAGTTTTTTAAACGAACTTTCCCAACACTGTCTGGTACCATCTGCAGCTCCTTCTCTAATCAGATGTCGGTGTGTGTTACAGTGGACGTACCAAGCGATGGTCCATGAGCTGCTGGGTCTGAACAACAACCGGATCGACTTGTCCAGAGTCCCGGGAATCAACAAAGACCTACGAGAGGTGGTTCTGTCTGCAGAACATGACGAGTTTTACGCCAACGTGAGTCGAGACAGATGACAGTTTTATGGATCTGATTGGTTTTTGAGCCCTAGGATGTGTGAGCCATTACATTAATGACAACACCTCTCTGTGTGTTTTAGCTTCTAACTAGGAGTACAGTTTTCTAAATGACTTTTTACAGGTTAAAATCAAAAGTACGTTGCATCTGTTGTCGAGTTGTTTTCAGAAAATAAAACCAAACTCAAAAAACACCAGGTCATCAGTAATAAATAAATAAACGTCTTTCTCTGCATTAGAACTTGTACATGAACTTTGGAGAGATCGGAACCAACATAAAGAACCTGATGGAGGATTTCCAGAAAAAGAAACCTAAAGGGCAACAAAAGCTGGAATCCATTTCTGATATGAAGGTTAGAGATGGATCTAGTCTTCACTAAGAGCTGCTGAGTCTGGTCCAGACCTTTGAGTGCTCAATCTCATTCCCGCAGGCATTTGTAGATAATTACCCTCAGTTTAAGAAGATGTCGGGCACTGTGTCCAAACATGTGACGGTGGTGGGTGAGCTTTCCCGGCTGGTGGCAGAGCGACAGCTGATGGAGGTGTCGGAGGTGGAGCAGGAGCTGGCCTGTCAGAACGACCACTCCAATGCTCAGCAGGTAACAACAGTTTCGTCCACACCTGAGCCCCTTTCTGATGATTAAAACCATAAATCTTAACTTCATCAGAACAACAAAAAAAAAAAGGCTGACGTGTGTTTTCTCTCAGAACGTCCGACGGCTGCTGCAGAATCCTCGTGTCGCGGAGCTGGACGCCATCCGTCTCGTCATGCTCTACGCTTTGCGATACGAGCGCCACAGCAGCAGCATCCTCCCGTCTCTGATGGACGAACTGAGCAGAAGAGGAGTGTCCGAACGCTACCGCAGGGTAATCCCTGTTCCTGTTGGTCTAGCTCACGCCTGTGGAGTCAGAATACTTTAATGTGTTTCACATCTGGAAGGCACCAGATTAATGTGTGTCTCCTGACAGATGGTCCAGTCTGTGGTGGAGTACGGTGGGAAGAGAATCCGAGGAAGTGACCTCATCTCACCAACAGACGCCGTTGCCATCACCAAGCAGTTCTTCAAAGGATTCAAGGTATAGAAAAAACACCCACATTAGGGCTGGGCGATTTTAGACCGTTTTACGATCTACACATCTGACGGTCTGTCATTTTTGAGAGACCTTTTTATCACGATTCACAGCTCTGCTGTTGAAATTCTGCCTCTGAGTGAAAAGGGAACTTACCTCCGGCGAATGACACGCCTTTGTTTGACCCTTAACCAATCAGAGTGAGTCATAGTAATATATTAGTGCCCCGCTTGTTTTCACCTGTGTGTGAACAAACATGGCTTCGGCCGCGGCTGAGAGCGACAACGAGGTTCTCGTTCCGAAGAGGAACGCCTCGTCCATTATATGGAACTGGTTTGGTTTTTCACCAGATGACAAAGAGCAGCGAAACGTCATTTGCAAGGAGAGCGTCAAGGCAAGTGATGGCAACACCACAAACTTGTTTAATCACTTGAAAAGAAGGCATCCCAAACAATACAATGAGAGCCAGCTGGCAGCTAAAGCTAAAAAGCCTGCGGCGGCAGCGGCTAGTGCTTCTTCCAGGCAGCAAACGCTAACAGAAACACTCACAAAACTCTCTCCCTACGACAGAGACAGCAGACGATGGAACAGCGTGACCGATGCAGTGACGTACCACTTGGTTAAAGATTTGTGTCCCGTGCGAACAGTAGGAGTGGGATTTAAGAAAATGATAAAAACATTGGATCCGCGCTACGAGTTTTCCAGCCGCAAGTGTTTTTCGAACACCGCCATTCCACGCATGTACGCTGAATGCAAAGTGAGAGTTGCAGAAAATATTCAGAATGCTCAGTTTTTTGCTACCACAAGCGATCTCTAGTCCAGCCGCACATCAGAGCCGTATTTGAGCTTAACTATCCACTACATGAGCAACTGGGAGCTACATAGTATTTTGAACAAGTTCATGTTTGCACAATACGTTTGCAATTGACATGTTTGCACTTTAAATATGTTTATGATTTTAATTTATGTTAAGTTACTTGAAAAACGAAAAAAAAACTGATTTTTGTAATTGTTTCTCTCAGGGCTTTTATCATCTCTGGTGTGAGTTTAATATATAAGTGTGTTAGCACTGTGTTGATTATCCCTAACATGAATAAATGTTTGTTTATTCAATGTTTCTCTTCTTTAATACACAATTGAAGTTATGCTATTCATGGATAAAAAATCGTGATAAAATTGAAATCGTGATAAGATATTGGAAAAATCGTGATATTCTATTTTTGCCATATCGCCCAGCCCTAACCCACATGGTCAAATCTGGTATCAAAATAGTTGAATTTGTCTTTAAGAGTCATTATTATTCATATCTTTCCATCGTGAATGAAAGAATAATCTGTTTTAGCCGATATTTAGGTGTTAAAATGACCAGTTTTCTGATGGAAAACCCATGCAGAAATCCAAGCTTTTGTTTTTAGGGTGTTGAGAACGTGTACACGCAGCATCAACCTCTACTTCACGACACTCTGGATCAGCTGATTAAAGGTCGACTTAAAGACAGCCAGTTTCCATACCTGGGACCCAGCAGCCTCAGAGACAGGTAGCTCCGGCCTGAGAGATGAGTCAAACCTGTCATTTCACCAGGCTCTGTATGTTAATGGTTACCCTTAAAATTTGTTCAGACATTTAGAAAACTCCCTGGTAAATCCTATTTACAGTTGGCTACCAACATTCACTGCCCAGCGAAATACTGACTTAACACACGTGAAAAAACATTTAAATGAAAACACACACACCTGTCTGATACACAGCATTTTGTGAACCCTGAAGGAAGAGCTAACGTGATGCACACTTTGAAACATTTTATTAATACACCTGAGAAAAAGGGAACAGTTAACAGTTACCTTTAATATTAGATACAAAATGCACCTTAGCAGTTCATCCAGACCATATGTAACATGTGCCTCCTATAAATAACAAAACACCTTATACAGGTAACACACACACTCTTGAGAAAGGTGTTCACAAAGCTCCATGATAAAAATGTCTTTGCAGGCCTCAGGACATTGTGGTGTTTCTGATTGGTGGAGCCACATATGAAGAAGCTCTGACTGTTTACAACCTGAACCGGACCACACCTGGAGTTCGCATTGTTCTGGGAGGAAGCTCCATCCACAACACTAAGAGGTATTGGATTGTTACTACAAACTTTCCTTATTATTTATGAGAACTTCTCAAGGACTACATAGAAATAAAAAAGTGACCCTGGAACAGATCCCTGTGGAACTCCTGACTTCTACTGAGTGGATTTAAATACTGAAATATTCCACAGTTGTTTTTTCTTTTATTCTTAAATGGTTTAACAATTTTTGATAAAAAGCACTAATCTTCGATGCTTTAGCTAAAGTTTAAGAATACAAATTTTAGTTTTTTTGTTTGTTTACATCCTGGCAACAATTCAAAACTTCAAAAACCATTTTAATTTTTTTCCCCAAACCCTTAAAATCATTCTGGTGCCTCTCTGTCTTCCCCTTTCCATCAGTTTTTTGGAGGAAGTGATGTCGGCGACGGGTCACAGCGGCGGCAGCGACAGAGCACAGGGAAGCAGTCGCCATAGCAACAGGCGATGAACACAAACTTCCTCTGATCAAATAATCTGCGCCATTCCTTCCATTTCCGCATGGCTGTGTTTAATTACAGTTCTGGAAGTTGTTCTTAAACACTGATGTTGGTAGAGAGCTCAGTGGGACAGTACATTAACAAAATTCACACAAAGCAGTATTGTGACATAAACTTGTAGATATCCAGGACCTTAATAGCATACTAATCATATGTTGAAGTGTCTAACCTGGTGTTTGAGGCATGGTTAGATCAAATAAGTATTTAAATAAAACATGTATAACGTGAAAGGGTTTCAGCACGCAGGAACATGAAAAGGCCTCTTATTCTATTAAAAATATAAATAACATTCACACGATTTCTGCAGCTTTAACTCATAAAAGAAACCCGATGGCAGTTCTGTTTCACATCAGAGTTCAGAATCCAACCTGACAAACATGAAAAAAAAAATGTATTTTCAATTAGTTTGGATAACCTTTGTTCCAATCTTTCTGTTGGTATTTATTCAGACGTGTAACTTGATTTTTTTCACCACTTTCATCTGGAACAAATCAACAAATTCTGTCTCTTTAGTGCTTCTGTCCCTTTTTAAGTGTGTGTGCCTAAATGTGAATTTGAAATGCTTAAAATAAAAATATAACAAAATAGATCTGAAATGCTCTTTTGTGTTCTTAATAAACATTTAAACAGAACTTTTTTGGTTTCTTGTGTCACGTCCCCTGGCTGGCCTTGGCGATGAGAGGGACTAGCATACATCTCGGAAGTAAGTAAGTAAGTAAAAGTTTATTTATATAGCGCCTTTCACAGATAGTGAAAGAGACAAGATGACATTTTCTGTTTATTTTATGCCAATTCCTAAAAAATCTGACTAAATATTTAATTTAACTAACTCCAGAAAAACAGGAGAGAACTGGAATGAAACAGACAATCTGAAAAAAAGGTTAGCTTACTTTACAAAGCAGTCAAGCCTACACAAATAACGGGGGTGTGGCAATCAAGTGATTTGTTATGACCCAGGAAGCAGCATCAAATCAGACAGAAGGAGGCGGAGCCTAGGGTACACAACCACATTGGTTGATAGGAAATTACTTTCTCTTGTTTCAGGTCATTAAATGACTAAATATTTTAAATTTAATATTTTTTCCCTCACTGATAAAAATTTATACCATCGATTTTGAGTTTTCTTTGATTTTTATCTGGTTTTCTAATCAGGTTGTGATCCTTTAAAGTTATGGAAAGAGCTGCTTGACATCACTGATCTAACAGATAAACAAACCGTGGGCTGTGGAACTGTTTGTCTTTAACATCCATAGGAACGTCATGTTCACCCCTTACTTTTCTCTGTTAATGAACAACATTAATTCCCCTCAAAAATCTGTTTCCTTAAAACTTCTGAATAATAAATGAATAATTTAAAATATTTCAGCTAAATCTGAAAAGCCAGACTCACTTTTAAGAAACTACTGTTGAAAGGAGGTCAAAGTTCACTGAGATTTAAGGAGGGAAAACAGATTTCTTAATAGAGATTGATGAGAGATCACCGTGTCTGTCATTAAATTTAATAGGAGAAACAAAATGACCCAAATCTCACTCACAGACACTAAAAAGACAAAACTACCAATGAAGGAATGACATCAAATGTCAAATAAACCCCAAAGTGATTATAAATAAAGAAGATGCATTTTTTATTGAGACAAACTATTAAAAGTTGATGAATTTACACAAAAGAAATACAAAACAGACATAAAAACATGAAATATTCACTAAACTAATATTAAAACAACAAAAAAAGACTAAAAAGTTTTTTTTAACCGTACCTTTTTCAAACCAAACTCATTTAATGGTTTAAAAAGGAGTTGTAGCTATTTTCGGTCAAATCTGACTTTTATTTTTCTTTTTTTCACAAGTTGATTAGCTTTGGCGACCATTTTTAATGGATTACACCCCACAAGTTAATCAGCTGTAGACGAACACCATGTGGTAACTTTCTAGGAGTTTTAATCAAAATTGTTAACTGGTTCATGAGATTTTTGTGAACTCTACAAACTCAAAAACATTATAGTCCTTCACCAAAAGGCCTTTTTAGTAGAATTCCTGTTTGTTGCAGGCTTGCTTGACTTTCTATGTCAAACAAACCATAATAAATTCAAAATAAAGCTTCAAAAATGACAACAGAAACACCAAATTTAGTCATATTTAAAAATCCATGATTATAAAATCAAAACAAGACAAATATTAGCAAGTATAAGAACATGTTAAATGACCACAAACATAAAAAGAATACAAAATTATCATAAAAATCGACATTAAAATTTCAATTTTGTCGGGCAAAAGCAGTGAATGTTTTCATTTTAGTCTTAAATCCATCAGTACAGTCAAACACCCAGAAATACAAGAGAAATTTAAAAACTATTGATCCATTTCTACAGTAACTGGAAAGGGTCAGTTTGTTGGGTGTTCAAGGTCCAGATGTTATCAGATCCATGACGTCTGCCCGTTTCTTTTGTACAAAAAGCAAACAGACACTTTAAACTGGCAGATTTCCAGGTAAGCTTTCATAAAAGACTCCAATCAGCTCGCTGCCACTTCCTCTGGTGCTACAGCTGCTGATCCACAATGCAGGTTCAGTTCAGAGCAGATCTGCTGGTTCTGATGCTGCTGAGCTGCAGCGCTCCATCTGCAGCTGAAGAATGCAACTTGCCTGAGAGGATGCAGCAGTCAGCCTTACACAAGGTGGGGTCCGATCTGGTATTTCTGTGCTATTGCTCACGTTTTGCTGCTTTTCTGTAGGATTTAAGTAACTCTTATTTGTTCTGTCAGTTGTCGGGCATGAGGTGGGTTCTGGTGGAGTCCTTCTCAGATTATCCACGTGGAGAAGAATTAATGAAAATTACTAATAGCTCCATCACTGTGATACACCTCAAAGACAATAATGAGAGCTTCATGTTCACTGAAAGAAACCTAGTGTAAGTTTGGAGTAAAATAGATGTTTTTTTTTATTTTTGTGCAGTACTCAGATTACTTTAGTTGGGATTTAGTTAGATTTATCAGAGCGCAACACCTGGTTTTCACCTGCGTTTAGTAAAAAAGTAGATTTTGCATTTTCCAGAGCTGGAAAATGTCTCATCTTCCGTGGCAACCTGTCCATTCCTGACCCTGAGACGTCCATCCACTCCCTCCTTCTGGACAACACAGGTGAGTCCAAACGGGCAGAGTCCTGGTGCACAAAAGACCAAGCAGGTCATCTCCTTTTACTGTTTCTCATGAGCTTAGTGGGTTAAAAGTAGATGAATTATGATGAATCTGGTGGTGAAGGGTCATGACCTCATATCTTTTCCTGGTTTCTTGTCTCTGGGTGTTTTTCCTGAAGGCGTGCGGGAGTTTGAGGGTGTGGTGGTTCCGTATGACGACAAAGGTCGAGCAGATGTCTATCAGACCTGCCCCCACTGTCTGATCATCGTCTACCACGGAGTGTTTGAGGGAATGCCGGGAAGAATCCTGCTCATCTACAGTAAGATAAACCACAACAGGAAACATCTAAATCACTGATTAACAGGGAAAACGAAGCTGGCTGAATCAATAATTCTAACAAAAACGGATAAAAAGGTGACAAAATAATCAACTACAATGGGTTAAACTGTTTTTAATGCTTTTGTTTTTAATTTGTAAACAGTTAACCAGCTGAAGAGAATTATTAGTTTTTAAACATTATAAGCACAGTTTCTTCCATTTCATCATGTTGAACCAAAACACAATAATAATGTTTAATCTGACATATCAAATAAAATTTCACTCTCATTCTCAAAAATTATATTTATAATGATACTTTGTTTTTATAGTTTTACTTTGAGGTTTGTGCATTTTATATTTTTATTCTTGACATTTTGTTCTTTTTGTCATTTGTTGTTTTTTTTTTTTTTTTTGGTCACTTAAGATTATTTCATGTTATTCATATTTACCATAAACATGTTTTCATTTGTGTCTTTGCCATCATGTCAAATTGAAGAAATGCACAATAGGGACAGCAGTAGCTCAGGAGGTTGTCCAGTAATTGTAAGGTTGCAGGTTCGATCCCCAGAGAATGCTGCTGTTGTGTCCATGGACAAGACACTTAACCCACCTTGTCTGATGATGGTGGTCAGAAGGACAGGTGGCGCCAGCGCTTGGCAGCCCCAGGGCAGCTGTAGTTACATCGTAGCTTATCCCCACCAGCGTGTGAATGTGTGAGATCCATAAAAACGTGCTTTACAACTACAGGCCTTTTCTGTTTTTAAAACCCTCCACCAGATTTGTGATCAGATCCACTACTGCAGGGAAGTTTGCTGACTTCCTGTTGTCCTCTCTGATGCAGGAAGTGAGGGGAAACACCTGGATGCTGATGAGCTGAAAGCTGCTGCAAGTGATCACAGAAGGATCGCCGAGTGTCTGAAGTTCAATGTGGAGATAAGCTTCCGCTACAATGGGAAAGCAGGTCAGAGACGTGTTCACACATGATGCTGTTTGTATGAAGTGACCTGAGGCCAACACCTGTTGTTGCTTTCAGTTGTGCTTCAAATTTGAACCTTAGCTTGAACCATTAATTCGTTTATTGATCACCATGAAAGTGGTACTCCATGTTTCCTTTTTTATTCTCTGCAGAGTTTTGTCAGGAAAAGAAGAAAGAACAGGAGGAAGCCTGATACGATCAGCTGGTTCCACAGCAAATATTTTCTGTTTTGTGTTGTTATTGTCAATAAAATGTATATGTTAAACTCAGTGGGTGTCACGTTGAGAGGTTGGTAGGACCCAAAATGCAGTAACCCAGGATGAACGAGGCAGAAGATTTTATTAAAAAAATCCTTTATTTGAAGGATGAAACAAAAATAATAATTCCAAGGCAGGGAGCCAGTAGTCCAAAATTCCAGATAACGATCTGGAGATCCAAAACTCTAGAGAATCCAAGAAGACCAAGAACACAAGTAATCCAAGGCGAGACGAGACTGACAGAATAACACAACAATGCTGACAAACAACAATGGACCGACAAGAACAACGAGACAAGGAGAGGCTTTATACACTGGGACTGGAGTGATAGGAGACGAGGAGCAGGTGTGTGAAGAACTGGCACAGGTTAAATCACTAATGAGGAGAGGAGCAGAGCAGGACACCAGACCTGACTGGGAAGGACAAACAAACACACACACACACACACACACACACACACACACACACACACACACACACACACACACACACACACACACACACACACACACACATAAACTCACACACACATATACTGAGCTGGGGAACACGAGGCTGGAGCTACAACTAGAGGGGCTGAGGATGACTGGATGACACAGGACCTGGGAGGAATTATTTTAAAGGGCTACAACTTAAGACATATAACAGAGATGCAGACAAAAGACACATGAGGGCGCTAAGAGAACACAAAAGGGAATCTAGAGAGGGATGGAGAAACATAAGGAGACACATGGGGAAAGACGCAGACGCAGACCATGACAGTGGGCTTCTTCAGCTATTGTAACATTTAAGAAAAGGTCATGTTATCAAACTTTGTTCACTTAAATATTATGTGTGTAAAATACTGAAGACAAGTTCTGTTTCTGTCAAAACAAATTAAGCTTGTAAGGTCAAATTAATTTGTGGTATAAGAACGTTTTTTCATTATATTGTGTAGCGTCATGAAGGTCATGATCTGCTACGTCTACTCGAGCAGAGACATAAAGTCTCTGACAGGCTAATCTGCATGAGATAGTGGCCAAGGTCTTTCATGCACTCTGCTCATCTGAACTGCTTCACCTCTGTCAAGATGAAGACGAAGAACTATTTTGATGAATACGTAATCAACAACTTTGTTATTACCAATAATGTGAGCCCAATGTTCAATCAATCTGTGAAATGACAATGTTATTAATTGATATTATGATCCTGTGATCAGTAGTATTTTACAAGAAATTATAATCTTGGACATTTGCACTAGACACTAGGGGATCTATGAACTAGTAGACTAGTCGACCTCACTGCTCTGTAGTGACTTTTTATGCCTGTCATCGACTAGTCGCTGTCACGTGATAATGATCGACAAGATGCAGTCCTCAGAAAAGACAGCAGGTGACGAGCCCCTGCGTGTTGGGAGGCAACGCGCTGTGCCAGAGCGTCGGTACTGACACCCGCCGTAAAACGGACATTTAACCAAATTGTGATGTTTACCCTTTTGCAATTTAACCTTCCCCTCACCCCCATCCTAACCTTAACCAGCTTGCGCATGCAAAGCTCTGATCATTGACTCGCTCCAGACATCTGCGTCCTGAGCACGGCCACAGTAACATTATCAAATGAGGTGTCGCCACCTCAAAAACAAATTTAACACGCGATCGTTCATGTCGGCTCATTTCCTTTTATGTTTTCTGTCTTTTATTTGTGCCTGATGCTTTTCGCTGCTGTGGAGCGGGGCGCATCAGCTGTTTTGTCCTCGGTGATGCACCTCACTGATGCGGCTGGCAAGCAGCACGCACTCCGCTGTTTTTGTGGTCGGTAGATCTTTTAGAACTGCAGTTCAAAGGTAACTCATGAGGTGAATATATATGAACCCAGGTAGCAGTTTCTCTTTAGGATTGAGAGGAGATGCAGGAAGATAATAAACAGGCAGGACAGAAAAATAGTCAAATAAAAACAAGTAAGTTTTTGTACCTGGTGGTTGCAACAAACAGACACCACTGAAGGTAATCAGAAGTGAGGAACAGAAATTATTTTAATGTTTAGAGCAGCAGGAACTCTGAGAGGCTGCAGGCGCATCAGTGAGTTTGCGGCCGCTGCTTAGGGGGAGGGGGAGAGGGCTGAAGCGGAGCAGTTTAGATGCAGAAACTACCGTTGTTAAAAGAGATGTGTTTAACTTTGAAAATGCAGACGCAATTTTAATTGTCAAAAGCTCCAGCGAACCAACCCCCCACCCCACCCCACCCGCGCACCGCTTCAGGTGTATGACGTCATCAACGACAAGTCAAAGTCGACTCGATTTTCATTACTTGACTGTCGACTATAAAAAAAATTAAGTCATGCAGCCCCTACTAGACACTAATGACACATAATGCTAAAGTCACATGACACATTTCCTTTTGTCTGATCCAATCAGAACCGTCGTTTCTGGCTAGGCGTGGTTCTCTGTGGTGTTTGTATAAACCCTCTTTTGCATGTCGAATTCTGATTCGCCAGTAAACCAAAATATGACAATTATGAAAACGATTCCACGCCACCTTTTCTCAGGGCCGGATTATCAATTCAATTCCATTTTATTTATAAAGCGCCAAATCACGACAAGAGTCATCTCAAGGCACTTCACATAATAAACATTTCAATTCAGGTCAGTTCATTAAGCCAATCAGAAAAAAATTTTCCTATATAAGGAACCCAGCAAATTGCATCAAGTCACTGACTGGTGTCAGTTACAGCAATCCTCATACTAAGCAAGCATTTAGCGACAGTGGAGAGGAAAACTCCCTTTAAACAGGAAGAAACCTCCAGAGAATCCTGGCTCAGTATAAGCAGCCATCCTCCACGACTCACTGGGGATCGAGAAGACAGAGCACACACACACACACACACACACACACACACACACACACACACACACACACACACACACACACACACACACACACACACACACACACACACACACACACACACACACACACTCACTCACACACACACACACACACACACACACACACACACACACACACACACACACACACACACACACACACACACACACCAAGCAATGTGTCCATGGTTACACTGTGATTGCTTAGTAAATATTCTATTTGGTGAGAGACAAACTTTATTGTATTTATCCTAGTGGATCTATAATTAAACGGATAAACTAGTAGTAGCACATCCAACGTCAAGGAAAGTAAAAAGTTATTATCAGGAGAGGGAGAATGTTGAAGTGGTTAGCAGCAGTGTGCTAGATGATGGCCCCCACCATGAGGCCACCACAGCTCAGCAGAACATCGTTGTAGCTTCTTCTGGGGAGAAAAACACTTAGAGAAAAAATAAAGTTAATAGCTGAAGTAGCAGGAAATAATACAGTTAAAGAGCAGATTGTAGAAGAAAGTAGTAGAGTGTAAAAAGTGGTCAGTGTATCCTCCAGCAGTCTAAGCCTATAGCAGCATAACTACAGAGATAACTCTGGATAATCTATCCTATTTAGATGGAGGCATGTTGGAGGCAGGGCAAGGGAGAGTTGTCTTTACCGACTGTACACTCCACCTCCCTCTACTCCCCCACTTGTCCAGATTTAGGCTAACATCATATTTTAACCATAGGCCCTATCAAATAAAAATGTTTTAAGCCTAGTCTTAAAAGTAGACAAGGTGTCTGCCTCACGGACTAAAGCTGGGAGCTGGTTCCATTTCTGATGTATGATGGAGCTTGATTATTAAGAGCTTTATATGTGAGAAGAAGGATCTTAAAATCTATTCTAAATTTAACAGGTAGCCAATGTAGGGAAGCTAAGACAGGAGAGATATGATCTCTCTTTTAAATTCTCATCAGAACTCTAGCTGCAGCATTTTGGACAATCTGAAGACTTTTAACTACATTCTATGGACTTCCTGAGAGTAATGAATTACAGTAATTCAGTCTTGATGTAATAAATGCATGAACTAGTTTTTCAGCATCACTCCTGGAAAGGATGCTTCTAATCTTAGCAATATTCCGAAGGTGGAAAAAGGAAAACCTACAAACCTGTTTAACCTGGGATTTGAATGACATGTCCTGGTCAAAAATAACACCAAGGTCCCTTACTTTGTTCTCGGAGATTAATTTAATGCCATTCAGGTCAGGTGATTGGCTAAGCAATTTCCTTTTCTGGATTTCTGGTCCAAAGATGAGAACTTCCGTCTTGTCTTGATTAAAAAGCAAAAAGTTTAGAGTCATCCAATTTTTCATGTCCTCAAGACAAGCCTGTAATCTACCTAACCGATTAGGTTCATCAGGGTTAATGGATAAATATAACTGAGTATCGTCAGCATAACAGTGGAAGTTTATCCCATGCTGTCTAATGATTTTACCAACTGGGAGCATATATATATAGTAAAAAGAATTGGTCCAAGCACTGAACCCTGTGGTACTCCACAAGTAACCCTAGAGTATGAAGAAGATTTGTCATGTATATTTACTAAATGAAATCTATCAGACAGGTAGGATTTAAACCAGCCTATTGCTGTTCCTTTGATCCCTACAACATGTTCAAGCCTTTCTAAAAGAATATTGTGATCTACTGTGTCAAAAGCAGCACTGAGATCTAACAAGACTAGAACAGACACAAGATTATTATATGAGGCCATGAGAATATCATGCAGTTTCAGTGCTGTGATACTCTCTAAAACCAGACTGAAATTCCTCAAACAGATCGTTAGTGTTTAAATGCTCACATACTTGGATGGCCACTATTTTCTCCAGGACTTTGGATAAAAATGGAAGGTTAGATATTGGGCTATAATTCATTGGGTCATCTGGATCCAGACAAGGCTTCTTAAGTGAAGGTTTGATTACAGCAACCTTAAAATCCTGTGGTACATATCCATTTACTAAGGATAGATTGATTATATCTAGAATGGGGGCAGTAACCAAAGGAAATGCATCTTTAAATAATTTGGTTGGGATTGGATCCAAAATGCAAGTTGAAGGTTTAGATGAAGCTAATATTTTTGATAACTCTGAAAGCTCAACTGGATCAAAACGGTTCAAGCACAGATGAAGTTCTACAGTCACCTCTGATGCTGCCTCACTTACTGAGGAAGAAGAAATCGCATTAGGTAGGATGCTAAAGATTTTGTTAGAATTAGAATTAATTTTACTTGGGAAAAATCCCATAAAGTCATTACTGCTGAGGGCTAAGGGAATAGATGGTTCAGAGCTATGATTCTGTGTAAGTTTGGCAACTGTACTGAAAAGAAATTTAGGATTATGCTTATTCTCCTCAATTAATGCTGAGAAATAAGCAGTTCTAATTTGTCTAAGCTTATTTTTATATAGCACAAGACTATTTTTCCAGGATAGGTAGGCCTCCTCGTGGTGCGTAGAGCACCATGTTCTCTCCTATTTTCTAGAGTTTGTTTTAAAGCTCGTAAATGAGAATTAAACCAGGGAGCCAACTTACTGTCCCTAATTACCTTCTTTTTTAAAGGGGCAACATCATCTAATGCCACACGTAAAGAGGAATTAACATGATGAACTATAGCATCAATTTGTGAGGGGCTAGAAATGAAAATATTGCCCTGCATTGCAGGGGCCCCTGGGCACAATGTGCTTAGGGCCCCCACCCCACCCGGCCTCCCCCAACATTACTGCCACCCAGAAGCACTTTTTAGACATGTCATAACATTGTCAATATTAAAACTCGATTACTAATGTTGATACAAGGGTTAAATATCTGCATGTTTTTTGTTTGTCTCCTGTCTCCTTCCTCCTCGTCTCCTGTCTCATTCCTCCTCTTGTCTCCTGTTTCCTTCCTCGTCTTGTCTCCTGTCTTCGTCCTCCTCTTGTCTCCTGTTTTCTTCCTCCTCTTTTCTTCTGTCTCCGTCCTCCTCTTGTCTCCTGTCTCCTTCCTGTCTCTTGTCTCCTGTTTCCTTCCTCCTCTTGTTTTCTATCTCCTTCCTCTTCTTGTCTCCTGTCTCCTTCCTCCTCTTGTCTCCTGTTTCCTTCCTCCTCTTTTCTTCTGTCTCCTTCCTCCTCTTTCCTTCTGTCTCCTTCCTCCTCTTGTCTCCTGTTTCCTTCCTCCTCTTGTCTCCTGTCTCCTTCCTCCTCTTGACTCCTGTCTCCTTCTTCCTCTTGAATCATGGCTCCTTCCTCCTCGTCTCCTGTCGCCTTCCTCCTCTTGTCTCCTGTCTCCTTCCTCATCTTGTTTCCTGTTTCCTTCCTCCTCTTGACTCCTGTCTCCTTCTTCCTCTTGACTCCTGGATCCTTCCTCTTCTTTTTGTTTCCTCTTGTTGGTCTCCTCTCTTGCCTTCAGAAAAACTGCTTTCTGGCCTTTTTATTAGTAAATTCATTTAAAAAGTCATCAAAGTCCAGATTCCTGACAAGCTGAGATTCAATTGCCATCAGTGACAGTGCAGTGAGGCGCTGTTGAGATTGTGTTGTTCTCAGTTCATTTTTTATTCTTGCCATTTGTGAAAATCGTTCCCCTTCACAATTTGTAACTGGTAGCAGGTGCGTTGTAAGCGTTTCAAAAGTGTGGGGGATGTTGTCTGTGCCTAAAATAATTATGTTATTCATCTTGTTAGTTTAATTTCCATAATAGCTGAACAGGTGCGAACTTTAGACGCGTCACGCATGCCTCCGTTTTAAACATGTTTAAACTGTTCAAAATACAAATCCAGGCTCTGTCTCGTTAGATTGGTGCAACTAAAGTTTGTACTCAATAAAATTTTTACATTAAGCCATGTTGAAAAGGTAAGAAAAGGATCCGATCAAATCATTTTCCTCCTCATTTACAGTCAGTACAGCGCTGTGCGCATGGCTCTGGGGTTAATCAAGTTTAATTGTTTCTCTTTGCAACAGTCTTCACAAGAAGGCAAAACAGTTAAATGGCAGGTTAAAGATATTTCCATTTGACTGTTTATTTTGACGGATAAACTCAAGGATGTTGGTTGTTTTGAAAGAATTACCCCGATGCACACTGATGCGCACACAGATGAGCTGACATTTAAATCTTTACGCACATCGCGGAGGTAATTAAATAAATCAAGAAAAGATTCCCATCAGAACATCAGAGCTTTATACTGGACACTGTGCTCAGCGCAGCTCGCAGCGCACACGGTGGACAGTGAGCTGAAGACCTGTAGAGGGGTTCGCAGCGCAGAACCACAGCGATGCGGTAAGATTTCCTTCCACTGAAGCGGTCGGGAAACCCTGTCTCTCTGAGGGATGTGTCACTTTAGCCGTAAACAATTATGGTTCTATTTTTATAACATTATTCATGTGGACTCTGCTGGGATTATTTAGAGCTGAGAGGCGCAAAGCTCTGATGGTTGACGCGCTCCAGACAGATGTGTCCTGAGAACGGCCACAGTAACATTCTCAAAGTGTCGCCACCTCAAAAAACAAATTTAACACGTGATCGTTCATGTCGGCTCATATCCTTTTATGTTTTCTGTCTTTTATTTGTGCCTGATGCGTTTTACTGCTGCGGAGCGGATAGCCTGTTTCGTCCTCCGGTGATTTCACCTCACCGGGGCCAGCGCGCGGTGCGCAGTCTGCTATTTTTGCGGTCGCTAGATCTTTTTTAACTGCAGTTCAAAGGTAACTCATAAGTTGAATATATATGAAGGCAGGTAGCAGTTTTTCTTTAGGATTGAGAGGAGTTGCAGGAAGATAATAAACAGAGACTGGACAGAAAAATAGTCAAATAAAAACAAGTTCGTTTTGTAACTGGTGGTTGCAACAAACAGACACCACTGAAGGTAATCCGAAGTGAGGAACAGAAAATTAAATGATTCTTTCAATGTTTAGAGCAGCAGGAACTCTGAGAGGCTGCAGGCGCATCAGTGTGGTTGCGGCCGCTGTGCAGGGGGAGGGGGGAGAGGGCTGAAGCAGGAACAGTATAGATACAAAAACTACCATTGTTAAAAGAAATGTGTGTTAACTTAGAAAATGTGGGCGCAGTTTTAATTACTTCTCAACATTTTTCTCCAACGTTTAGACTGCTGCACAAAAACAAAAAAGACTGCTGCTTGTGTGGGCCCCCTTGTGGCTGTGGGCCCCTGGGCCTGTGCCCAGTTTGCCATTATTATAATCCGGCCTTGCCTTTTCTTTAGTTCAAAGCATTCTAAAGAAGTCTCGGACAGGCCATCCGGACTTCCTCTTCAGCCATAAAGAACCTTGACAAGCTGGATAAAATCTGTTGCAAGTTACACCTGACCGCATCGGTTCCTTCAGAGTAAAAGCTGAACTTCACAACCCCTTTAGGGTCTCGGAGACGCCAGTGATAACCTGTCGTGACCTGGAAGCATTCCAAGACTAGTTTGGTTAGCACCGTTGCTTTTCTACCGGCTTCAGTTCCAAGGAGGGTCCTTGAAGACCTCGGCATTCTGGATCTAACGGAGGCTTCCCCTGTAAATAGACCGACAGATGGCCTTTCATGTGTGTTATAAACCTCCTAGTAATGATTAGTGCGAAACATTCTCTCCCACTCAGAACTAACTGCTTCTCCGGATCCGCTGGTTCTGAATAACATTCCGCACACACACCATCGTTCATTTCACGTCTCACTCCACCTTAGTTCCAGTACACAGAGTGTTAAAGTTAGTCTTGTTTAAATTGTGTAGAAATAAATTTCATAAATATTTTAAACCTGACTCTCTCTCTTTCCTTGGAGTTAATACAAAGTGTCACTTAATCCCTGCAATAAAAAGTTCCGATCTTCTGGTTAAAATATTGAAAGATCCATCAGATTGATATTTCATATTTCTATGGAATCTCACATTTTATGGTTCATAAGTAAGATGTAAACGACCCATTCTTTACAATTGCACATTTCTAGATAAAAATCCCAATGTGCTTCACAAGTAAGATACTTTTTAAAAATGATAATAATAAATAAAAAAATAAATAAAAGATAAAATTAAGATAAAAAGTAACATAATCAAGTCTACTAATTCTGTAAAACATATGTATACTATTCAATTTTTAAGTGAATTTGCAGAAATGAGTTTGTACCAATATTAGGAAATTACCAAGCAGGCTAAGATAAAAAAAATGCATTGTATATATATATATATATATATATATATATATATATATAATTTAATATGATGATTAAGTAAACATAGTTAAGAAATTGGTAACATTTCTAAGGTTTTTACAGCAAAGTTTAAATGAGACATTTTTCCCAGTAAGCAAGCATTCATTTATGACCTTTACTTTTGGTTTTGGTTTTCATGAAAGTTTTAATTATTAAAAAAAAATAAGTATTTACTTGAACTAGTGGAATTTTACACTTTTTGTTCTGAAACAGAAATTTCAAAACAAGATAAAATAAATAATAAAAACAGCGCAATGATTGTTTGTAGGGCTTGCTTTGCCGTATTTCTACCGCTAAGTGTCGCTCTCGGGTTCTTTTAGGATACAAAAAAAAGGTACCGCGCGCTCTCATGAGAAGGCGCGTGCATTTGGTGCTAGAGCAGCTTCAAAGCGCGCGCGCACGCGCAGGGAGGATGCAGCTCATGGTTCAGACAACAGCCGCGGCGCTGAAGTAAAGAACCGGCGTGGACCAAGCAGACGCAGCGACACCGACTCCCGCAAACACCGGGACCAGAGCATCCGGTGTCCGGGCTGCAGCTCCCGCCGGTCCGGACCGAACCTCCACCAGCACCCCACCCCCTCCACCCCTTCTTGTCTTCCCGCCGCCACGGTGTGATTGTGTGTGAGCCCCGGAGTGGAGGGAGGATGAAGAAAAGCAACCAAAGCAGACGGGTCAGTGATTCAGAGCTGTTTATTTTCACGGTTTTTGTTCATTTCCGACCCTCAAACTCAGCCCGGAATATTCTTCCGGTTTGTACTCTTTAAAGCAGACAAATCTCTTCCAGAAACTCAGACAGAACCACAGATTCTGATCAGGATCATTCATTAATATTCATGTTGTTCAGCACAGAAAAAGCTCGTTTTCCTGCTTCTATTCCATATCCACCCAGTTTTATTATTTGCTCTAATTTTAGTAAACATTATTTTTATCTCCTAACATTTTGATGAATTGAATTGTTTGAAAATAAATAAAAATGTCTATTTTCACACACCCAGCATAAACCCTGTCTAGTTCACTCATACTTATTTATTCATTCAACCTTGATGGCTGAACATTTAAATCCTGCTAAGAGTTAAAGTAAATATTTAATAAGTCTCATTATTATTAAAAATTTGCCTTTTTTCTTGTTAGCATCATGCAGTTTTAAGCCTGAAAGGTTCTGTCAGGATGCAAAAATTAACTTTTTCATTAAAATGGATGTTTGTATGTCCGAAATAAATCTAAATATGTCAGCAAAAACAAAACAAACCCCTCCTACTGAGGAAATATCATGTTTTCAACATACTTCTGAATGTTTTAACGCATAAATCTCAATTCTCTGATTAAAAAAAAACTAAAACATTCTGCTATAGGGATTAAATTATGTAATTGGAGATAACTTGACTCATAATTTAGTTTTTAACAAGTCTAGAAATGTGCTATTTTGTGATATTTGTTAATAAAATGAGGCTTTAAAGGCTTTTGAAACCATAAAATTAACTTTTCTATCTTGAGTGAAAATCTTCTGTTGCTCGCGTGTCTTTTATTTTAATCTCTTGTGCTGAAACCGTTCCCAGTTTCTTCTTTCTGTCAGAGTTGAGCCGTTATGTAATTAATGTAGGTCAGACCGACAGAGAGCAGCCAGATCATGACAAACACGATCATCATGATTTGCTCGTCTCCATCATTATTCCTCCTCTTCACCTCTCCGACTTCCTTCCCCGTCTCCAGTCGGGAGACAGAAGCTTTAATCTCCAGCATCCTCTTCCTCTGCTCCTCCAATAAAAACTCTTCTCTTTTCCGGTCATTAAGATTGATCTCCTCTTCCGTTTTGCTCGTGTGCGTTTTATAAATCTTTTTTCCTGCCTCCGTTTGGGTCTCATTTATCCTCCTCGTTGTGTGTTCAGGTCATTCAGGACTCCGGTTCGCTCGCCATCCAGCAGCTCGAGAAGGCAGGTTGGATCCGGAAGTTCTGTGGTCGAGGGATTTTCAGGGAGCTGTGGAGGAGCCGCTACGTGATTCTGAAGGGAGACCACCTCTTCATCTCGGACAAGGAGGTGAGGATGGAGCAAACCCAAGCACATCTGGCTGATTCCAGCAGCTGTTTAGTGTCAGAGATGTTGCTGCGAGTTTAGTGCTGGAAACAGACAAGGATAGTTGTATGTCCTCAAGCCACAGCAGAGATGAAAAGCAACAACTGATTCAAGTTTCAGACGTGTGAAGTAGGAGAATTTACTCCTTTCATGTTGATACAAAGAATAAACCACGCAGGTGGCTCCCTGTGCTCAAATACAGCAGCAGAGCAGATCTTTTATTTTTCAGGAGCTACAAGTTGTTTGAATCAACTGTAGAAACTGTTTGAGAAGAGCTCAAAATATATAATATACCCCCATATAGGGATGGGTACCTTTGACATTTGAATCGATCCGGTACTTAACGGTACCAATTTTCGTTACTTTTGAGTGTTTAATATTTTTAATTCTCTTTTATAATAAAATATATATTTTTCTCAATATATAACCATATTTGATAAATATCACGATAAATAACATACAACTGTTTGTATTTTAACATCGTCCTTGTAGTTTTATAAGTTGATAATTAAACTGAAGCAAACATCTTTACTGTGAACTAAATTTACTGTGTATCTTCATTCCTTTTACCGTCCTTTTTCATTTGATTTTTCCTACTGGGAAGTTAGAATTTCCGAGGAGAAAGCGAACGCACCATTAGATGATAACAATGGTGGCATAGGAAGCTAACATATCAAGCTAACGTTATCTTAAACTGTTTATTCAACCGCTCGAGCAGATTTAAACGATGATGCCTCACACTTAGATCGTTGTCACTGGTTTCATCTTCACCCAATCACCCGTCGCATTTAGTAAAGTGAAGCCAAACTTTAGAGCGCGTTCATGTTCTTTTAGTCGGAATTTTGGAGTTCCGAGGAGAAAGCGAACGCACCATTAGTGAAACGGAAGCTAACAAATCAAGCTAACGTTATCTTAAACATTTTATTTACCTACCGGAGCAGATTAAGATGAGGATGTCTCACTTAGATCATTGTCACTGGTTTCATCATCACCCAGTTACCCATCACATTTAGTGAAGTGGACCCAAGCTTTAGCGTTCGTTCTTTCTACCATGCTGCTCTGTTTACAACTCGCTCGCAGCGACTGACGGCATAACGCTCTTGCGCATGCGCAGCTGTCTAGGCAAGTTCTCGTTGTGAAGGACGGGTACCGAAACGAGGCACCGTTTCAAATGAAGTGAATCTGTGCTCGGTTGGTACTGTGGAATTCGGTCGGTACCTTAAAAAGTACCGAATTCGGTACCCATCCCTACAAATACCCTCAAACAAGCTTCAAGGAGACTCAAAATGTGTTACAAAGAGATAATAACTAACGAAGAGTCACAAAACTACGGAAGCATATTGGTGTCAATATGAGGAAAAAATAATAAAGGATCAGTATCTTAAAAACAAAAATGCTCCTCACGTGATATAAATTTTGTTTTAGCGAAAAACTTTCTCGTAATAACGAGAAAGGCTGTAACGGTAAAATGGCGGTTATATGTTGTGGCGTTCTACTCAGAATGAACGAGGCTGTTATTCCAGTTCTTGATGTTTAACTTTTAGGGAAAAAAACCCACCAAACAACGGCACATAAATCTAAAAATTACACTGGCTATTACAATTAAAACAATTCAAAGTTTTTTAATGTAAAAAAGCGCAAACAGGAAGTCAACTTTTTAAAAAGCCGCGCCTCAACTAGAAAGCAGAAGTAGTGCAAATTTGCGTAGACAAGAATTCCACGAGGGGTTTGTTTTCTCCATTGTTTTCAAAGTGTGGAAGAACACGATTACAGGTGATCCCTCGCTACTTCGCGGTTCGTTTATCGCGGATTAACGACTTCGCAGATTTTTTCTTTGGAGCCTTATTCAAGGGAAATTCGCCGTTTTGCGGTATTTTTCACCGATTCGCGTTATTTTTCTATGCAAAATATCAAGAAATTCCTGTTTTTTTTCCATCAATTTCATCATAAAATGCACTTTTTGTAATAAAACTATAAAAAAAAACAAGTAAAAATACAGTACTATGTAAAGGGAGGGTTTTAAAAGTCTGAATAGTGAATACGTACCTGTTAAATAAATACTGTAAATATGTTGTCCCTACTTCGCGGATTTTCACCTATCGCGACCAGGTCTGGAACGCATCTACCGCGATAAACGAGGGATCACTGTATGTGACTTATTACTGCTTCCTAAAAATCGTAAAGAGGTTCTCTCTGACTCTATCTTCTCCCTTTGTTTCTTCTCAATGAAATTCAAACATCCTTAGAGACGTCAATAAACATGTTATTACGAGAAAGTTTCTGCTAAAACGAGATTTATATTATATTATTTCACGTTATAACTAGAAAAGTTTGCTTTGTAATTAGAAATTTCTCCTGTATTTTATCCCTTCACTGACCTTAATATGCTTCCATACGAAACAACCACAAGGGAGCTTGAAACGAATAAATACAATCAATGAAATTACCACAAGATTGGACTTCAAGTTATTATGAATAGAGGTAGGGGAAGGAAAGCATCTATAAAAGTTGTGTTTGGATGATTAAGCCGCTGTGTAATAAATCCTAAAGAATTTAAACAATGTTTAAAAGATCTCTCATTTCCTGTTGGAAGTGTCAGGAGTCATTCTTAATTGTTTCAGGGAGTGTGTTGTTCTGTAGCTCCTGATCTCCTCACTTTCACCTCACAGACTCTCTCTGAACATCACAGCTCTTCCTCCTGTTTTATAAAGGTAAAAAAAAACATTAAAGGGCCAAATCTAAAGTTATTTAAATTATTTTTAATACTTATACTTAAACTACAAACGCACGCGTGATCTCCCCCTCAGAGAGACGAGTTTTCATCCTGTAAACTTTTGACTGGAGGTGATTGCAGAAAGCCGCGTGTTGAGTTAGAAGTCCCGCTGCGGAGAAAGCAGGTGTACAATAAATCATGCTAGCAGCAGATCCTGAAGTGCTGAGTGTTCACACCGATTCTGCTTTTGCTTTTCATTATGCAACAGAGCCGTTATGCAACTGCGCACAGAGGGTTGTAGGACGCTGAGTCAGACTTTCTTATAAACACTTTCTCCGTGCTTCTCAGCTGGTGGTTTGAGCCCGGCAGAGTGCAGACAGGCGGACTTGAGGAGTCGGGTTTCAGCCACCATGCTTTGGTAGGGATGATTTTCCTGCAGAGAGACCAGACAAATGTTTGTTCACACTCCAAACAGCTAATAGAAACCAGCACAAAGTTAAAAGGTTTTGCATCTCATTAAGCATGCAGATCCTTGTTTGTTGTTCCTTTGTGAACGCATCTTCAGTTTACGAGGTTCTGTTTCCAGGATTAGACTAGTGCAAGCACATGAATAACTCAGCGAAAGTCAAGCAAAAACGATCACAGAAGCAACAGAACTCCTGCAATGCAAAAAGACTCTAAAACAGGCTAAAATATACCAAATAGATATAACAGGGTATCTGCGGGTCCTTAAAAAGTCTTAAATTTGCTTTTAAAAATTTAAGGCCTTAAAAATCCTTAAAAATTACAAATAATCCTTAAATACAGCTTCCAAAGGTCTTAAATTACCAAAGGCCCACTAAACAAGATTCTTTTATTTCTATAAAAATTTTGTGAATTTCTATTCAGTGTTCAGGATTTTTTGTGTATGATGTTGGCGTAAGCGGAACCGTACACATTCAGTTGGTTGTGAAAGGGGGCTATTTTTAGATTAGCACATTAGCTGGTTAAGCTAGTGGGACCTTGCGCCATGGAGAAGTTTAATGGCAACTGGATGGCTAATCCCACATTCGCGATGTGGTTAGCACCGGTTCCAGGCAATAGCTGGAAATTATAGCTTAAATTTAATATAGAAAATAGCTTAAATTTGGTCAAAGTGGCCTTAAAAAGGTCTTAAAAAATATTAAATTTGGCTCCCTTAAACCTGAAGATACCCTGTAAAACAAAACTGCAAAAACCAGCAAGTCTTACAATTTTACTACCAAAAGATGTATAATTGCAACGAAAAACACAAATTTGACAAAAAATGCATTAAAGAAAGTTTACAGAAATAAAACAATTGCAATTTCACCAAAATTAGCTTCAAACCAACAAAGGTGTTGTAAAAAACCCCTTAATGAGACACAACCGCAGCTACAAGCAGACTAAAGGAGCTGAAACACAGATGGACGATTTTAATTAAAAGAAACAGAAATATTTAACAAAGTCACATTTACATGGATGCTGTATTTATGAATGGACGTGTGGAGCTCTGGAACGGCGGTGGAGCATTATTGTGTGTTGGGTTCTATTTTTAGCACAAACTCATGTTGTTCCTGTTAGCGTTGTGCTGTGGAGGTCGACTGGCTGGGCCGGAGCGTCACAACGACTCACATTAACCCCGCATGTCTCCATTATCGGGACGTTTATGTAATAAATCGTTTAGGGTGAAGACACGTTTAAAGGTTAGGGTCGGGGTTACAGAGGCAGTAATTATGTCTGAGCTTCTATTACACGAATCAAAATCACAGCGTAGACCCTGTGTGTGTGTGTGTGTGTGTGTGTTTCCTGTGATTATGATGTTTTAGTCCCTGTGAGTCATCCTTTTTTTTTGCAGCGCCTCAGCAGTACGTTGACCCAGGACATTTATAAATACAGCAGCCTCGGGCTCGGCGTGCGTGAACAGCGGATTCCTATTTTAAGTTATGCAGCGTTACTTTTATCATAAGAAGGTATTTTCTGCCTCACTTAAGTTGAAAAAAGCTCCATGTTGTTGATTCGTTTTACATTTTTGATCCTTCAAGTATCAGAATCTCCTTTTATGTGATGTTTTCTGATCTGAAATGTCTTTTTGGAGCTCAGGCAGCATATTGATCGTGGTATTGATGGTGTTCTGCTCCACCAGCGTCCACATGTGACCGTTAGGCCCTGCAGCCTTTAAGCTTATTCAAATTCAATTGGATTCAAAGATACTTTATTAATCCCAGAGGGAAATTAGAATTTCAGTACATGC